TCAGAGAAGTTAAGTTAAATATTATTCGGTAGAGTGTCTGCATGAGATTGTTCAAATGACTGAATGAGGGAAAGCGGTCAGTAAATGTCAAATGTAAATTAAAAGGCGTTTGCTAGGCAGGCAATACATTTCTGAATGTTTTGTTACTGTTTTTCAAACGAGGTTGGGCCTATTATCCTCCTGTTGGGGGAAAAATGGACCATGTTATATCAACAAATTTTGTTGGGGAGGGGGGGGGGGGGGGGGAGGAGGTTGATGCATGCGATTAAGCGATTTTTATTAAGAAATATGAATAAATATATCCATCTGCAATTCTTAACATCCCCGCGCCCCTTCTCACTCGCTCTCTCTTTCTCTCCCTCTCTCGCTCTCCGGTTATTTCTCTTTTTCTCTTCCCCTCTGTTTCTGTCTATGTCTCTGTTTCTGTCTCTGTCTCTAGACCTCCCTCCCCTCTCACCTCCTTCTCTACCCCCTCTCTCTCTCTATTTGCCCCTCTCATTCTCTCCCTGTGGACGGATGAGGCTTTTGCCCCCGCTATTTTTCTTACCTCTATTTTGTATATCCCCTAAACTTACTCCTGGCTTTATACTCGTCGTTAATGTGCATATCGAATTTTGGTCATACTTATATTCTGTCAACGGTCAACGATCTGCATTAAAATCTGTTTGTGAATATGAGGAGTGATACTTAATAATGTAAGTCAACATTTTCAGAAAAAAAACTCTAGAACATTCAAGATTTCTACACTACAATACACAAAACAAAACAAAATAAAACAAAACAACACAAAACAAAACAAAACAAGACAAACCAAAACAAATCGAAACAAAACGAAAAAACAAAAACAAATCAAAACATAACAAAACCAAAGCAAACCAAAATAATAAAGTGAAACAAAAAAAACTTCTCGGTCTACAAGTTAACATGATTAGAGATGGGCTTCCATTGGCATGCAGTTATTTTTGAATGGAAAATATGACATTGAAACTTTAATGCTTTTGACAATTGCTAGTCATTCAGCACTACCTGCCTCAAAACAAAACATACAAACCAGAAATAAAAAATCCAAAGCAAAACAAAACAAACATCTATAGGCCTACAAGTCAACGTGATTAGAAATGAGGGCTTCCAATAACCAGTTATTCTGAATGAAAACTATGGCAATGAAACTTGACAATTGCAAGTCATTCAGGCTTCACCACTATAAACCTGCCTAATCAGTGCCTGTATTATTTTTGTATGGAGGCATTCCAGGCAGCCTATGTCGTAATTTTTTTGTCCAACTCTGCTAAAACAATTATATTGATGATTATAATAATAACAACAGCAGCGACAATAATACTAACAATAATGATAATAATAATAATAATAATGTTAATAACGACGATAATGATGAATATATTGATAATAATGATGATGAGGATAATAATGATTATAACCGTAATAATGATAATAATAACAATGATACTGATGATGATGATAATAATAATAATAATAATAATGATAATAATAATGATAATAATAATAATAATAATAATAATAATAATAATAATAATAATAATAATAATAATAATAATGATAATAATAAATCTGAATTTACACAGCGCTTAAAGCGGTATACCGTTTCTAAGCTCGTCATAAATGATTATACAGTCATCTGATTCATTCACGCGCACAATGTGCACCATCTCCACTTTATTCGTCAACCATTATGTCAGTCCCCTAGGCTAATATAGTTTGAGGGTGCAGACCGTGCAGTGGTAGAATCTACACCCTCCCCCTTTTTAATAGGTTCAAACAGGGGGGGGGGGGGGTATAGCTCGGGGTATAGTAGTTGTAGGCCTACAATCTCAAGTTCAAGTTCAAGTTTAAGTTTATTCAAACCAATCAAACACAACATTTTACAATCAATTGACACAAAAGAAATAAAAAACATGATAGGTTTGGGACCCCGGAGAAGCAGAGCTTGTGATAAGGGGCCCCTTAAAAGGTACATAAACAAAAACAAAATAACAGTATTTAGAATAACCGATGACAAAAACATATTTACAATGATAACTAAAGAGTAAATATGGGAACAGAAAAAAAGATAACACACATACACATACACACCCACGCACACACACACAGACACACCCACACACACACATACACACATGGCTTTCCAGGATCTACTTTAACATATTTTGTAATCTCTCAAAAAGATATTCTCGACATGTATGTTTAAACATAGGTAGTGTTGGACTGGATCTGATGTTTTGTGGCAACTTATTCCATTCTTTGATACAATTAATTACAAAAGAGTTCGAAGCAGTTTGTGTTCTCGCAAACGGCTGATGGATAAGATTTCTCTGACGTGTGTTGTACGAATGGACAGTCGAATTAACAATAAACGCATCTTTTAAAAATGAATTATTTTGAGCAGATTGAGATTTGTACATGAATATCAAACAATTCATGGAGACTAATTCATCAAGAGGCAACATCTGAAGTTGCACAAATAAAGGATTACTTGGAATTCTGTAATTTGAATTTGTAATGAGCCTGATAGCTTTCTTCTGAAGGACTATTATATGGCTCCTATACGTATTTCCCCATGCAACATTACAATAAGTTAAGTGAGGCATAATGATAGCATTATAAAGAGTTACTAAAGTTTGCTCTGGTAAAAAAAAGCGTAACTTAAAAATCACACCAACACTCCTCGAGACCTTGGTACAAACATTGCTGAGGTGATCTTTCCAAGTTAAATGATCATCAACTGTAACTCCAAGAAACCTTACATTTTGACTCCGGTTGATCAGATGACCACCTATTGTCAGGGGGTCAATATTATCTGGGATTCTTTTGCCCCTTGATCTAAAAACAACATATTGAGTCTTACTAGCATTTAACAAAAGTTTGTTGCAACAAAACCACTTAAATATATTGTGAACTTCATTATTTGCAGACAAAATCAGATTATGCATGTCTTTGTGCCATGGTGAGAGAGCAAGCAAGTATCATCAGCAAAAAGTGAATAAGTAAACAACTGAGATGAGTTTATAATATCATTAATATAAATCAAGAACAATAAGGGGCCCAGGACTGAGCCTTGGGGTACGCCATATTTTACCTTCCTAGATTGTGATTTAACTCCATTAACCACTACATACTGTAATCGATTATGTAAGTAATTTTTAAACCATTTCAAAGCTATCCCACGAATGCCATAATGCTCAAGCTTGCTTAATAATATATCATGATCAATAGTGTCGAATGCTTTCGATAAATCCAAAAACACACCAAGACAAAACTTCCCAGCATCAATTGCATTTATAATAGTGTTTACCAAATTCAAGACACCCATACTTGTAGAGCAATTCTTTCGAAAGCCAAATTGTTGTGGGATCAGAATATCATGAAGTCGAAGGAAGTCATCCAACCTTTTATACACTATTTTCTCTAGAATTTTTGAAAATATGGGTAACAAAGCAATTGGTCTATAATTCTCAATGTTCTTACGATCATTCTTCTTGAATACAGGGATTACTTTAGCTATTTTCAATTTGTTTGGGACAATACCCTGAAACAAGGACTTATTAAAAATATCACACAAGGGTTCAACAATGCATTGAAGACAAGTTTTAATGACTTTTGGGGAAATGTCGTCAGAACCGCATGCCTTGGATGGTTTTAGAGTTAAAACAAAGTTAGAAATTTCATGAACAGACGTTGGTCTAAAGTACAAGGACGAGGAGTGATTCTGCACTGACAAAAATTGATTGTATGATGTTTGGACAGGAGGAATTTCCTTGTTTATTTTAGAGGGCAAATCAATGAAATATTCATTAAAATATTTTGCTTTTTGTAAGTCTGATTTTAACAGTAAATCATTATGATACATATCATTTGGAAGTGGCGTCTTCTTCCCCCTCCCAAGCAAACCATTAATATGAGACCAAGTCTTTCTAATATCATTCTGAGTAGTTCGAAAAACATTATCATAATAATCCTTCTTACTTTGACGAACAAGGTTTGTCAACAAGTTTTTATAGTCAACATAACTTTTCCGATTAATCTCATTTTGGTTCTTAATATATGTATGATAAAGCTTATGTTTCTGATTAATAGATTTCAGAAGACTTGGAGTAATCCATGGTTTCCTGCATTTCTTCTCAGTCACACTCAATTCAACTAAAGGGAAATGTAAATTATATAAGTTGGAAAAAATATCACTAAAATAGTCATAAGAAACATTTGCATCAAACAAGCTATATAAACTAGACCAATCAACTTGAAGAAGATCGCGTTGGAAATTATTCATTCTTTCATCAGTAATCACACGTCTAAATAATTTATTGTGTACCTTTCCTGTAGTGACTGCATTGCCTTTGTTAATGCTACAAATTGGCATGTGATCAGAGAAATCAGAACAGAATATTCCACAATAGAAATGGTCTTGAACACAGTTTGTAAATATATTATCGATTAAGGTTGCTGAAGATGACGTGATACGAGTCGGTTTAGTGATTAGGGAAAGCAACCCAAACGAAAACATAAAGTCAACAAAATCTTTTACCTTTTCATCTACATCAACATTTAACAAATTGATATTAAAGTCACCCATAATATAAATGTCATTCCTTTCTTTACTCAGTATTTGCATTTCATGATCAAAGCCATCAATAAATGATCTAATGTCATTACCAGGTGCTCTATAAATGCATCCGACAATCGACTTTTTGTTTGCAATACTAATTTCTAAAAATACACATTCATAATAAGCAGCCATAGCCATTAGCCATTAGCCATTAGTCATTAGCCATTTTTACTGTCTAGGTCTAGATCTATCATATCAAATTCAAATGTTCTGTGTCTGAGCAAATTTGCGTGGCATTCAAAAACCTAACCGCGTGAAAATACTTTTTTTTATTTAAAGAAAAAGAAAGAAACAATGGTAATTTTTGTCTTGAGTTTAGACTAAAAGTAAATAAATATTCACTCCTTTAAAACTAAAGCATCAACAACAACAACAGCACACGCATGTGGAACTAGAATCTGGAACGCAAAATTTGGAAAAATTTGGACTCCAAAATGACAGATCCAGACAATAAATCAAGCGGCAGATTAGGAGTTGTAAGTGAAATTATAGAGTTATTTGTTTCTTACTTATAATTATTGTATTGCATGAGTGTGCTATTGAAAATCAATTAAATTATAAGCGAGATGTGAGCCCGGTCCCATGCCTCCACGTTTGTGTGGGCTATCTATTGTCTGAGACTCTAGTCCTACTACTAGCGCTAGTCCATACGTACACGAATCCGGGCTAACTCGCCCCAGCCTCAAAGACTAGGGCGAGAAATCCCGACATGATTCACCGTTCGAGAGATACCAATATATGTTTGTGCTCATTGTGACTTAATAATGCCATTTCCAACCACAATCTGTAATGGAATTGTGTTAAATTAAATAAATGATACTTTTGAAGACAAGTCAATATAAGTATAACTAGGGTGTCTGATCGCGCACCCGATGTTGTGTGCTAAAATACTTCCCATAGAGATTGCACGCATCCCTATGCAGTCTACGTGCATTGCGCGACCATTAAAATTGGTCAATGATTTTATGAAAAAAAATGAAATTCAAACCTTTGGGGCTTGTGATCCTGAAGGTGAAACTCAATAAATGAGGTGTCATATGAAAGAGCAGGTTTTTCTCCATATTCCCCAAAGGGGCGCACTCCCAAAATTCTAAAAATATCTTGGTCAAAACAGCGATTTAAATGTTGTTTGCATCCTAGCTCCAAAATTTGCCACTTTCCTGAGCTGCGCCCCCCGGGCTTATGTCCGGCTAGACGTAAGGAAAATATGTATGCACTTATTTTTTCGCTAGCCCCAAGAGATCACTCGCCCCAACAGTTTAAAAATACCCTTCCCACATTTTTGGAATCAGCTAATTAGGGAGGCGTGAGCTCCGCTCAGTCCAAACCATGGTTACATCGCGTAACATGTGCGCTTATAGTGAATGAAAGTATGGATGGCCGTTCCCACCATAAACCCCGGAAGTTGAATACACGTTATAGTCAGTGGCAATATCGCGGAGACATCTCCGCGATATTGCCATTGACTATAACGTGCATTCACTTCCGGGTTTTTTGTGCGACGAACGCTAACCATACTAGTCAATGGCACATGTCGCGGAGACAGCGTAGCTCAAGCTTGCAAGTCGCGCATTGGCTTAGCAGCATGCGTACGATATGCATACGCTTGCATATCGCGCGATACAGCTGTTTGGCTAAATTTAGCAAAACAACATCACTCTGCGTGGACGTCTTTTTCGTCGATTTTGACCAAAATGATATGAATATACCAGCATTTTGGAGGGGCTGTATCTTTTGATTGAAACATCGGTGAAGCTTCAAATTTGAAATGTATTATTCTGATTACACTTTTTATTCAAATATCAAACAAAAATGGTGAAAAACGATCCCAAATTGAAAATTGAAAAATCGTTCAGACACCCTAGTATAACTTCTCTTTATTATGTAAAATGACACAAAAATGGCATTTCGGACAATTCACTCACAGCTCGCAAGTCTCATTGCCGCACGTACATTAAATGTGCGTTGTATCAACTCGGACCACTGAAATTTGAGCAGTGTTTTTGTCAGTAAATCACTGCAAAAATATCATTTTCATAATGTATATAAGGTCTATTTTTTATTCCTGGTATAAATTTTGTTATTGAGAAGTCGAATGTACTACATTTTAGACGAGATGGCTGAGTTTGTTCACATTCTTTCGTCCTGGCTGTAAATAGCAGACTACTGCTTAGCTGAGTGCATGTCAGGACATCTCGCGCTCCCTAGGGGGGTAGGTGCAGGGAGGGGGAGTTGCGCGGAAGCTTTGAAATAAGACGATTCGTTGTACCTTACTCGACTCATAATCCTTGTCTGAATTCAGTCCCTCCCCCCTCTCGCGCGAAGCTTTGACGTTTCACTAAATTATTAGAGAAAGGAGACGATTTGTTGTACTATTCTCGACTCTTTATCCTTGTCTGAATTCTGTTCCCCCCCCCCCTCTCGTGGGGGGGAGGAGGGGGGGACTCAGTTTCCCCCTTCCCGCGCAAAGCGCGGAAGCTTTGACAATAGTTGTACCGTTCTCGACTCCTTTTCCCTTTTTCTTCCTACGTCCTCTTTCTTTTTTTTCTTGTCTTTCTCTCTCTTTTTTTTTGGCTGGCATTTTTTGGGGGGCGACCGCCCCCACTGCCCCCCCCCTGGCTACGCGCTTGCGACTCCATGTACACATAGCTGCATTACTATCCTGGCTCTGTATTAAAACCTGTTCTATTGATTCTCAACATTTCAAACACCACTGTGCAAAACTCAACTTGTTTCACTAAAAGTCAGTAGTGACAATTTATGACACCTTAATAGCAGTAAAATACAATTTTTTCAAATCACTGATGCACGATGTTACTTTGTTAGAAAGAATAATTTAAAAATTAAAATTGTGAGTCTACTGTCAAACCACGAGGAAGTTTGTGCATCTTCTTCCTTCCTTCCTTTTTGAGTACACTGTACAGACCTCTTTACAGAGTATTGTCGTACTATACTGGCGGTGTGTGCAGGTGGACCACTACACGGGGGTTTACCCACTCCAGCAAAGCATAGAGAGTCAATGCTAATGCGTATTGACCTCTAGCACTGCATGCTTGCTGTGAGGCAGGTATTATTAGACCCATACACAAATACACACAACACACAATATATAGACTGCATACGATCATGTCGCTGCGGCTGTAAGCAAAGTTTGACAGTAGACTTACAATTTGAATTTTTTAAATATTCTTTTTAACATCTGTAAGTTGAAAAAATGTATTTTACTGCTATTTACATATATGTACAAGTAGGTGTCATCAATTGTCACTAAAGTACAGATTTTTAGTGAAATCAGTTGAGTTTTGTACAGTGGTGTTTGAAATGTTGAGAATCAAAAGCACAGCTTTTACTACACAGCCAGGATAGTGATGCTCCTACATGTACATGTATGTGTGGGTTTACCCTTATTACTCAATTTACGAATAGTGCAGTGGGTTCTTAAAGTGCATTGAGCGCTGTACAGTAAGTTTACATGCTCTCATTAGCTGATACGCCCGAGTGGCTTCAAATTTAAATGAGAGAGGGCGCAACTTAAATTCAATGGCAAAGTCATTACGTAATATTACGTCACACCACAGAGATTTTGACACGTTCTGCTTTAAAGGACAAGTCCACTCGAAAAATAACTAACTTTCAATAAAAGAAGAAAAATCAGACAAATCAATCAAAAAAAGTTTGAGCAAAATCGGATAACTAATAAGAAAGTTATGAATTTTGAAAAAGTATGTAAAACTATGGAACAATGAGAATTACAACACAAATTGCCAAGATGGTTATCAGTTTGTGACGTCATGTCCTCACAACTTTTCAATTGCTTTACATAGTTTAATCCCATTAATTTCCCTTTTTATCCCCCAAAACTTGATTTCCCCATGCCTTTGCCCAGGTTATATGATTTGTATCATATTGCGTGCATGACATTTCCCAAAAACTTTTTATGAATTTTGAAGAATTGATACTATTTTCTGAATATTGTATTTCATAATTATTGATTTTAATATAAATAGTTTATCAAAATTCAATTTTTTCATAATTTATCTGGACAAAAATTACCCTTTATTTGTGCATCTACACAAACACATATTACTAACAATCTAACTTGGATGCTGGTGTGAAGAAATAAGATTCTTAGGGTGAAAATAGGAAATTTATATTATCAATATAAAGAAAATAATTAGTGGATAGTGAGGTCCATACGTCATAGATTCATAAGTGAGTTGCCAATTTGAGTAGTGATTTTCAAAGTTTTTCATGTCATTAAAAATTCATAACTTTCTTATTAGTTATCCGATTTTGCTCAAACTTGTTTTGATTGGTTTGTCTGATTTTTCTGGTTCTATTGAAAGTAACTTATTTTTGGAGTGGTCTTGGGCTTCAAACAGGTGACGCACTTCACACATTACTGACGCACATTCACACATAAAATACAAAAATCAACGGACATCTCAAAATAAATTTCCAGTTTGTACCTCAAATACAAATAACAAATAGGTGTACTTAATTGAAAAAATCATAACAAATAGAGGGTTTGACTGAAATATCATAATTTTGGTATTTAAAAAATGGAAAATCGCAAGCTTGCTCATCACACAAATATAGCATTGAGTGAATGGAGAACAGCAATGGCCAATAAGAAGGGCCCTTGTCGGCGCCAATTTAGTAAAATGAGGCTGCGATTTTCCGAGATCGGATGAACGATTTGCACATGCACTAATTGTAAGCTGAAGTTCTACATGTATGTGCAAACTTGCTTATATCCACATTGGCATCATTGCGTGCATGTGTGTGTTATTTTTGTATTGACTACGGTATTCATGTGTGCAATTGCTGCCTATTAGCATGCAGTGCAGCACTAGAGGTCAATACGCATTAGCATTGACCCTCTATGCTTTGCTGGAGTGCGCTAGTCCACACATAGCTGCATTACTATCCTGGCTGTGTATTAAAAACTGTTTAGACAACCTCTATTGATTTTTTCAACATGTCAAACACCTTTGTACAAAACTCAACTGAGTTCACTCAAAATCATAAGTTATGTGACAATTGATGACACCTATATAGCATTCAAATACAATCTTTACAACTTACAGTACCATTTAATGTTAGAAAGAATACTTTGAAATTTCAAATAGTGAGTATACTGTCAAATTTGCTGAACAGCCAATTCGTATTCATTGTCCTTTGACTGAAACAAAGTAACCTTTTGCCTTTTGCAACATCTCTTTATTATAGAACTTAAACTTGTGTCTTTAAGTGATTTGATCTTTTTGGTAACAATTATATTTTGTACCAGTTAATATTTATATTTACTTTCCATTTGATGAATTTACACTTAGCTTTCCATACTTGATGACCTCCATTCCTCTTTCAAACTTCACACATCACTCATTGCCATTGCCACACCTTGTTTCTTCCATTCCATTTCTACTTCACATGGTTCTATCAATTGTTTAGTTTTCATTTATATTTAGAACAACTCAAAATCACCCTTCCATACTGTCTACATGTATTGGTTGTTTCTTCTCCCTGGGTTCTTCCATTTTTTGTACCATTTCATTGCAAAAAATTGCAATTATTTAAATGAATTATGAAATAAAAATATTAAAAATAATCGCAGGGAATTAGTGTTTGCAAAATACTTCAGAAAATAATTGTAAAATACAATTGTGACTTGTGAGTATATTAGGTTATGACTGGTGAATCAGTTTTGTTTCTGAGATGGATACCCCAGATATTTTTATTTGATAATTTATAATACACCATTATATTTTTCTAATTAAGATGCGATGCTATGAAATTGAGTCCAATGTTAGGCTTCAATAAAATATTGAATAACAAAATGTTAGCCCTCTAAACATTAAAACATATGTTTTAACAATTCAATTTACACATTTAGTCCACTTATAGTCACAACGTAATAATCACTTTTAAAGATAAAGACCAGTTATGGTCATGCGATTGCATTGTGAAAGAAATGTTGTGAAATCGATCAGGAAAGGTTGATCATCTAGCATAGATATACTGCAAGGTTCTGGAATCATCAAAATGATAAGAAATTTGGCCCAGTCTTCATAAAGTTACAAGCACTGTACACAGAAAGATGTATATGGGACTACGCACACGTGCGCGACACGTGCGTTTTTATCTCTCACACACCAATACTAGATAAACTAATTTACCAAATATATCAATTAGTAGGCGGTTTCCCGGCAAAAATGTTATCATCATGTATTATTCAAAACATATTATTTCACATGATTGGTAATAATGAGCTTCCATTTCATTTTTTTTAAATTGGGGTGTTTCTAATACTGGTCTTTACCTTTAACTGATTAGATAGAGGGAGAGAGAGAGGGTCTCCTGACAGGCTGCCAGAAATCTTGCCATTAGAGACGGTCTCCCACTCTCCCAAATAAAAAATAATCTCCCACATTGGCTGTGCGGCTCTACTGAAAAATGTGATTCCATCAAATAAAAGGGAAAGAAAATGCCTGTTTCAATGTGGAAATCCCAGCTTAGAATGAGACTATCAGGAGTAGCAGAAACGCATTAAAACAGGTCTTGCTTTTGCATTTAATTGAATGGAAACAACAGAATCACAATTTAGGTGCCCAGTGCAAAAGTACCCTGGCGCCGCAACTGGTTGCATGTTTTTTTTCTAGCAATAGACCCTACATGTACTTTCTGTTCGATTGCAGCAAATAAAAATATATGATCGTTCAACTTTAAAAGAGCTTTCTTTGTGTGTGTTTGCTTCCAGGTCCAAACTGCTCAGACGACTGACAACTGGGACAAGAGTGACTGTGTGACATTTGTAATGCACAATGAGGACCATACGCTTGGCAATGCTCTCAGATATATGGTTATGAAGGAGTAAGTAATAATAATAATAATAATATTGGATTCTTACATGTATATAGCGCACGTATCAACCTTGCAAGGTCCTCAAGGCGCTCCAACATTACCCGGCTATGCTAGGCTGCCGATTTCGACGCTCACAGCATTTTAAGTATCACATAAGATGACAGTTATTGTGATTGCTCTGGCAACTATTGTTCCTCTGTGAGATTCTAGCACTGCTTACCATTTTATAAGCCTTATAAACAATCTTCCTGTACCACATTTTGTATCATTGGATAGATACCATTGGATAGATACATGTACACCCAAAGGCTGCAAGATTATTTAATTGTTTCCAGTGTAAGATTAATCTACACCAATTGATGTTAAAAGGAACGTCAGGGAGCAAATCAAGACTAGATATTGGTAATTTTGCAAAGCCGATTTTTTTTTTTTTACAGAGCAATCCATCCTTCAACTGGGGAGTGTTTCAGAAAGACTAGGATCTGCTTTAAGTTGGACTTAACTATGGCAGGGCGTTCATGCCACTGTTTGCTCTCACCATTTTATACTGACATTGGTCTCTCAAGGGACGTACAAATCATGGTTGCAAATCTACAGAATTTCCATTTTTTGACAATTCATTATTGAAGGAATTATAAGGAAAAAACATCTAAAGATCGTAATAGTGAGAGCAAACAGTGGCATGAACAGCCTGCCATAGTCAAATCCAACTAGAATTCGATCTTAGTCTTTGTGAAACACTCCCCTGGTTCCCTAGTGTTTTTTTCAAAAATGCCTGTGTGGCAAACGAACAACTGTGCAGAGAGGTGAAAAAAGGAAACAAGTGTTTAATTTCTAACATTAACCTAACAGGATTTACCCTAAGACTAATACTCTATTCTAACTGGCCTGTTTTCATCGGATGCACCCGGACGCATCCGATGAAACGGCCAGTATGAAAGCAACAGAGGAGAAAAAGGTGATTAAATAGCCGATGAAAAGAAGAGAAATAGGCGATTAAATTCTCCTGGTCAAGAGCAGGAGAAATTCTCATTCTATCGGTGTGACACCGATGAAACAGCCACTGTGAAAGCATTCGGGAGAAAAAGGCGATTAAAACAGCGATTAAAGTGGTCAAAGGTCGCAGTGTACGCACGCTTTATCGTAACCAGCTGTGTTTGTTGACTTATGGTTGAACATGCTGCATGCTAGCTAGATGGAGCGCGGGCTTAATAATTACGCAATAATTCTTCACTTCCGGCAAGGGCCCGCCACAGCGAGTGAATTTCACCGGCAGTATGAAAGCGACAGGGGGAAAACTGCGGTTTCACCTTTGTTTACATAAGGAAAATTCAATCGGTATTTTCATCAGTGTGCAGTATTAGAGGCTAAGCTTAAGCTTAAAGCTTAACTGAAAACCCAATAGAAACCCAAGCCCTTCTCCCTCTCATCTTCGACAAAAATAAAGCCTGGAGCAGATATCACCACTGCAAATCTCAGACTGTCCCCATTTTGAAATATAATTTTTATGTCAGAATTAATTCTTCACATGAATTGGGCCTATAAAAAAAAAAAGTTGTACTACCCTTTAGGTGCCAGAACCTAGGTCGGGCATTCGGATTTCCTTTTTTTTAATGCCTGATAGAGAGGTGAATAAGTGTACAGGTATGATGTCGTGTTATTTTGATTCATTTGCTCGACTTTCAATCCAAGGGTTAGGGGTTCTAATCCCAGCCCAGGGGGGGTGTTTCACGAAGATCATAAGTTGAACTTATCTCTAAGTTGGACTTAAAAATTATGGAAAGCCGTTAGCAACATTGAAAATATTTTATAAAAGTTATTTCAAAAGACATAAAATGTTGATTCAAATCATTCATATTTTCTATTATCAAGGAGATGTCATGTTCTTGATGTAGAATTTATGAAAAGTCTAAAATACTTCAATTTTTGCTTTTGGAAATATTTAATTTTGAGGCTACAAATGGCTGTCCATAATTTTTAAGTCCAACTTAGAGTTAAGTTTGACTTAGGATCTTTGTGAAACACCCCCCTGGACTAACTTCATGTGGCAAGAGATTAATCCACATTTGCCAGGTGTAAATGGGTACCAGGCAATTTCATGGGTAATACTAATCGCAGGGCCCTCAGGGAGAACAGTATCGGTGCTGATGAGGCTTCCCTGGGTAAACAAATTATTATTATCTAATTTATGGCATGTAATTATGGGAAGTTTTTGAGCATAGCCATTTGAAGGAACAGTTAAATATGTGGGGTTTCAATAACCTCAATAATACTCTTTCAATTGCATTCACCTGGACCCCACAGATTATCCCTTTGAGAATTGATTGTTTGTCTTTATTACCATCTTGTACTTGTCATACCTGTTCATTTGGCTCACTATTGTATATTTACTGTATTTATAACTGTATTGTATAACTTGTAAACATGATCAGTTTTGGTCCTTGGACCTTTGAATCATGTATATTTATATGTCTTTTTAAACCAAAATAAATAAATATAAATAAATAAATAAAAAACAATTTTTTTTTTTAAAAGGCTAGATTGTTCGCAATTTTTACCTTAAACTGGCAAGTTAGAAATTCAATTTCTTGCCACATCGTACCAATAAAATGTCTGAAAGCAGCATGCATGGTTATGAACTACACTCAAAAGTTTTTATTTTGAACTTCCAGTTTTGTGTAAAAAAAGGGTGATTTGTAAACCTCAGGTGTGTTGGCGATTTAAGAATCTTCTTTCCTAAATTCCTGATGTAGATACATGTAGATAGATAGATAGTTTATTGGTTTCCATAATATCTCATTTTACAAAGAGTGTGACAACATATTGAGAATGATTATCATACAATACCGCTGCACACTATTCAGAATATTGTCCATTGAAGGTACATGTATTACAAAGATTTGGTAAATTTTGAAAATTGGCAGGATAGTGATTCTTTACAATTTTGATATATCTAGATATCTGGCAGGATAGTGATTCTTTACAATTTTGATATATCTAGATGCCCCTATGGATGTATTATAAGCACTAGAAAATTTAGCCCCTAAAACACTTCTGCTTTCAAGAAAAATCAAATATACAAATTTACCGGTGCTCCCGGTAAATTTTGATAAATTTCAAATAGCGCATACGACCATACGATGGTAGCTGCGACCATGAAAATCTCAGAATATGTAGTTGTGGTATATATATTCCAAACGGTAATAGCAAATCGGTCGATTTTATTCAAAGAACTTTGTTTTATAGCTTAATTAATATATTGACCTTGAGAGGGCGCTATACATCATAAAGAGTTTATTATTTACAATTTCATCACTTGAGACTCTATGTTAACCGTGACAACGATCACTGAATATTGTAGGATCGCATATGCTTCCAATATGTTCATTTGAACCAAATTCATGACCCCATACCAAAACTTTGTATTACCTTTAAGTTGAACTTAAGATATATAGTGGTGGAACCTACATGTATAAAGTAAAGTTTATAAAATACAAATACATGCTAAAACAGGGAATGGGAGATTACAGGAATACATGAACCGATACTCACAATTAACTACAAAAGACAAGGAAAAGGGAAGGGAATAAGGTATGTCAAATACAATATGGTCAGGCAGCAAAGCTGGACACAATGTGTGAAGAAATGTTTGCCCTTTCTTTTTAACCTGTTGACTACTGAATTGTATAGGTCCCATAGGCTTAATACAGGGACCACCAGGTTCCCGTAAGCAAAGGGTTAATAGTCCATCAGGTGTGTCATCAGAGCTCTGAATCAAGGATTATTGTTGAAACAAACGTGAATGTAGAATGCTTGTCTCATAAAGGTTATCCAGTCTCTCTTGACCCTCTAAGCACAAATGAAATACAGTGGAATCTCATTATAAAGACCTCCGATATAATAAGGTCATTTCGCTGGTCCCGGTTCTCTTGTTTTTTACCTTGATTATTGATATAACAAGATTCCTGATATAAACAAGGTAATTACATGGTCTGAAGGAACTCATTAATTCATAATGAGGTTCCGCTGTATACAAAATACAATTTACTATTTTATTAACAGCATTGAGAAATAGGTACTCTTAAAAAACACATTTTGTGCAAATATTTGCTTCATATGCTTACATTGTAGTACTACCGGTAGGCTTTTAGGTGATGTGTATATTTGGAAAATAATGCATCACTTTGTAAATAGAGAGTTTCTTATCTGTTTTTTTTAACAAGTACCAGTACATGTTATAGACTATAATATCACATAGCTTGTCCTTGGCAGATGATTCTATTAAGAATATTGTAAGGTTGATTTTGTGTACGTGCTCTTTTGCAGGGTAGGTCAACCTTATGTATCCATAATATACATGTAAGATATTTGAAAATGAAACCAAACAAATAATTAGAAAGTAAGGTTGTGATGAAACTATTGTAGGGTTCCGGTTGAGGTTGATCTTTCGCAGGAAAAGGTAAATTAGTTTTAATGGGCGACTACTTGAAAACAGTTTTAAGCTACATGTATGTAATACGATCTACAACTGACATATAGTTTCACATTCAAATTAGATTTTTAATGGGCGACTACAATTGCAACATTTGCAATTTAAGTTCATATACATTGTAGATCTGGAGGATCATAAATTTTATTTAAATTGTGCTTCCTTAACTTTTCTTTGATTTTCAATGATTTTCAAAATACTTTTATGGATGTATTTCTGTATTATGAATGTGCCCATTGTTAAAGATTTTGTTTTTTTTATATATTTTTGTAATATATTTTTTATAGCAAATAAGGAACCAATGCAATACATTACAACCAATCGGTTGACCTCTTAACATTAATGGGATAGTTGAGTTCTGTTGCAGAGGGCGCAACTGAGATAATGAAAAACTGAGTATCAAACTTAAAAGAACGTACAATTTAAAAATGACAAAATCATCTTTGTTTGATGAAAATCGGTTCAGAGACGGCTGAAATATCCATAAATATAAAGATTTATAATAATTGTGTACCACCACAAATATTCGATAATTTGAAAAAGCCCTTGAAAAAACGAAATAGCGCCTTTTATGTTGTATTGCAGCCTACCGGGTATGCCAATGTTTTTTTGTTGGCTTTGTCGTTTTGGTTATATACGCACAACCAGCCGTCTCATGTATTGTTATTATTAATTAATTAATTAATTAACGGTCACCATACTTTTTTTTAAGTGGAGCTGAATTGGTATGATCGTATTGGCTAAATTTCACACATTTCGGGGTCTAAAATTACCTTCATAGCAATTTTAGGTTCTAAAAAGGCACTAGAAATGTCATAGATAAGAATAAGAGCAATAAGCATACACTTTGAAGGCATTTGCGGACTGAAAACAGAACTCAACTATCCCCTCTAACTCATACATGTAGATGAGTTGATACACTCTTAAACCCTGCTTCAAACACCTGATTATTGAATCTTTAATTTGTCCTCCCTCTTTCAGCCCTGATGTAGAGTTCTGTGGTTACAGTGTTCCTCATCCGACAGAGAACAGGATAAACTTCAGGATACAGACCAAAGGTTCATCTCCATAATTATTTTCTTCTCATTAACTGCCCAAATTCAACAAATCAGTTCAATACATCCTTACTGAATTGCCGTGTTTTGGGACCGATGAATTTGCAATGTCTGAAAAGGCAAAAGTCGATGGAGGGAAGTTGTTTGAAATGTATTTCCTGTATTTGGTGTAATGGAGAACAAAAATTGATCAATATTATGCTCAGGATGAAATAAATATTTATAATTTTATTTGTATGAACAAAAATGAGAGAATCACCTTGTAACTAAGTTAGTTAAGCATATGTAACTTTATGATTGTTTCTTTGCTACCGTATTTGGATTTTATCCAATAAAAAAGCCTGTGGAGGGCTAAATAATTTTATGATTTTTAAAAGTTGCTTTAAATGATAATGATAGGGTTAATATGATGTAATCACACAATGTGGAGCAACAGGGTATGAAACAATGAAACGGTTGGCTCAAGACCGAGGAACTTGGATAGACACTTGGAGAGACACTTGATATAGAATTTTGAATGGGTCACTGAACCTGTCATAAACTGACAGATCACTATTGATGAATACATTTAAAGAGGTTGCATGCATGTGAAGCAATTCTAAATCAGATGTTAATCTTTTTTTGTAAATCATATGGTATATAATAAAATATATTTTGTTGCACTCTTAACAGTTGAAAACTAATTATTGCAGTTACCAATAATATCAACAATTTGAAGGCATCTGGAATAGGTGATTTAAAACCATGCTTACTTCATGGTAGTGACTTAGATGGAGCTCAAAATATCAAACTGTTTTATATAATACAGTATGTGAAAATCAAAACAATGATGTCAGTTGCAAAATTGAAGGAACAAAATTATAGATGTACATGTAGCTCACAATACCATTCCTTTCATCTGATTTATGACAGATCAAAAGGGATAATTTGATAATGAAAATAAAAACTTATAGCTCGCAGTGTCATAATTTTCACCTGATTTGTGATGCATCAAAAATTGTAATTTGATAAAATCGTTGAGACGATTCTGTGTTTAGAAATAAAACTGTCTGCTTTGAATTATGTATATGTTCATGTCCGATATTTATACACAAAATCAACTTTATTGTTTTATAAAAGGTCCATGTTTCATGTATTTTAGAGACTTTTTTTATGTTGCTTCATTTTTGTAATTTGATATTTCTCCATAGGTGCTCCTGCTGGAGATGTTTTTGGTAAAGGATTAGCGAATCTGTCAGAAGTATGTGATCACATTCAACAAACATTCAAAGTGAGTCAAGGGAGTCAAGTAAAGTAAATGATGCAAACTTTACAGATTCAATCTTAATGTTTTTAGAAATGCTTTCTGTAACTTTGTTTTAATACACAAATGGAAAGTAGTGTGCAAATGAAGCCAGATTTCCCAATTCATGTTGGCTCTTCAAAATAATGACTTTAAAAAAAAATTATGAATTGAGATAAAGTTGTGTTCTGGTCATGCGATCACATTGTGAAAGAAACGTTGTGGAATCGATCAGAAAAGGTTGATCATCTAGCATATAAGTATTGGTGTGTACTGCAAGGTTCTGGAATCATCATTTTTGGTTAAGTTACAAGCACGTTACACAGAAAGATGTACACAATGTATGTGGGACTACACGAAAATGTGGCATAAAAATCTGTCCCGATTTGTATGATGTTACATGCCTTATTTAAACAGCCACGCTTTTGAGGGAACATTTTTTATATGATGTTCTTCCACACTTGCACAATACAATGATAATGCTCACAAATTATTTTTCACCTCTTCCCAGAACTCAACCTTCTCTTTAATCTCAAACTTTTACTAATCTCAAAATTCTATTCAAACCAATTTCATGTCATTTATTCTTGGATTTTTTTCCTTTATTCTTTCTTTGTTTCTCTCAGGACACCATACAAAAGTTCAAAGAAGGCATGGATACTCAATGACCCAGAATTAAAACAGCATAAATTATGAAGAGAAGTGGACTCATGACCCTCTTATTCCCGGTCATATTCAATATGGCAAAAGACAGATTGAAAATTCATCACATTTTTGATGATTTAAAGTGGATGGCATGGAGATTTATGTCATTTTTCTGACATGTCATCATTTTGTCACTTTCTTGTGGAAGTAAATACTGACGTGCGGTACATAGGAAGATTGGAAGGCACCAATACTCCGTCAAGACAGCGAGATCTCAAGTTGAGATCTCAACTCAGTGACTAAGTTTTAGATCATCACAAGCTTTAGAAGATGCCATACTGTACCACTTGTGCAGTTCTATGTACAGAGGGGAAGGAGAGAACTTAACAAAACAAAAAGGACTTTTGAACTTCTCCAAACTGACTTGTTTACATTTTTCCATTTTATAAGGAATATACATGTAATTCATTGATTGATATATCAAGAAGAACATGCTATTTTTTTAACATAGAGGATAAATTTTGCGTAAATTTTTGATGTAATTCTGTAATCAATATTTAGTTTGATCTGGAAATTCTTTTTGGTGCAAAAGTTAGTCACTTGACATCCTCAAACTTTATAGAGTAGAAACTCCAGTATGACATTTTTCTTAAAATAAGGTTATCAACAATAAGGTGTCAATTTTTTTTAAACAACTACCGTAAATCTCTTTGTATAAGACGCACCTGTGTATGAGACACACCCCTATTTTTAGGACCAAGAAAAAAGACAAAATTTGTGTGTGTGTGCTTTTGGTTTTGTTTTTTGTTGACTCCGTAGGCAGCAACTTGTCACAAATAATAGTAACAATGTTGTTTTTAAAACTAAAGACGACAGACAAATTTTCCACCAAGTCCAAACAGAAATTTGGACACATGCTAGTTTGGTTCTAGTTTCATAGTGGGGAGTCGATGTCCTGTGAGTGAGCTGGGACCATGACATTGCTCTTCCGGGCACGGGTGAGCGTCGGCCGGCACAGTGCTATGTGAAGGGGCATAATTTTTTATTGAGACTTATACACAAAGATTTAGGGTAGTAAATATGTGGGTGTGAGATCTCATCCTTATACATAAAGGTACAGTAAGATAAGACAAAGTACAAAGTATAATGAAATTCACACTTCAGATGTTTATATTTCATTTCTTTTATTTTTTACAATGGATGAGACACATTGAAATCTCATACATGTATTTACATAGTAATTAAAAAAAAGAAATTATTTATTCCAAGTATTTATGATTTCTAAATGATGTTGGAAGCTATGAAGTATGAACACATTAATTAAACAATTCAAATAACACAATACTGAACAGGGTGGTTATTTTTCATACAAAAGCTTTCTTTAAGAATCCACATTGCATACTCGTATTTGTTGAACTCCATATGGACCAGTATGAATTAAAATTGTTATGCCCACAGTCACACAGACTATACCGATGCATGAGCAACAACGGAACAAACAATTGTAAATGTTGCTCTCATGGGCAAAGAATCTATTGGTTGACCAACGTTGCATCCCTGTTTGTCCCCCAGAGGGTTGTTTGGGCAAGTTATAGAAAGTTTATTGAAACGTGGCTTTTTGGTTAGTTTTTTTTTGCTCCGTTAGTTAAGGGCTCCGCATCACTATACATGAGTTGCAAATATTTTTTTTGAGCAGACTAGTTCATGCACCCATGCAAGAACCTACTGAAAAAGAGGCAGCACTGAACCCATGTCTACCTTGGCTTGCATGCGCTGCTTTTATATCATTCTTTATTTTCCTCAAACTCCTTGACCGGTAACCCATAGAATGCCAGGTAAATTTAAATTATTTGTATGCAACTTGAGCATCTCTAGAGATGGATATGTTGCGCTTTATAAATATTGTTATTATTATCATTATTATTAAAATTTGAGGTTTATTTCATATTACTTTTCAAATTACTCTCTATGTGATTTGTACACTTCAATCTGTGTATCGTACCTACTCCCATCACCTCAAGTTAACACAAACAAATAACTCGTATAATTCTACATGTAAATATTACACATACATTGAAAATCATATAGAGTAAAGTCATTGTCTATCACTACAAAGTACATATACTGCAAACTTAGAAACAAGTCGTATGTACAGAAGAATAAATATTGCAGGTATTTCCATTATGTACACAAATAATTTCATCAAAATATCAGTACAATTTTCTGTAAACCTAACATTATCCACATAATTCCACCGATGACTAAATCACAATGAGATTTAATGTAGAAGCTATGATGTTCATAAAACCCATAGCAATACATTTCATTATTTTCATAGGAAAATATACTTGTGATCCAGTTATTTTTCTTTTCTTTTCTTTTTTATTTGAAGGCACCATAATAAATGTATCTGCAATAATAGAAAAAAATAACAAAACACGAAATACAGGACCATACAAGTATCTCCTTGTAAAGGGAAATTCAACCCTTATAGCAAACTACTATAAAACGAAAGCGGAACAAATAGTTGAGGGAGACTGGTGAATGTTTGAGCAAAATCAGACAAAAAAATAAGGAAATCATGAATTTTCGAAAGCTGTTATAACAAGAAATTATGGGCACTTCAAATAGGCTGAATCAGTGATGTCACTATGACAAACTTTGAGACAACTTTCCCATTTGTTCCAACGTGCAAAATTACTAAATTTGTCAAAATGTACAACTCTAAGAGTGTCTTTGTCTTTTTAGAAAACCTTTAATTTGCTATCCACGATATATTTTGAGAAGTGCCCCAAGAGAGAAGACGCTTAGGAGAAAAACAGGCATAGTTAATAACTTTTTTATAGACAACAAACGGGAGTTATCTGCGATTATGTCGCAATGCATTAGCCAAATTTTTGATTTGAGATTCCCATAGCTTTAGTGATCTCGTATTTCAAACACTCACAACTTTATTATCATGGTCCAGATTTAGTATGTCAAACTTTCGCAGTTCCGTTTCTCTTATTTTTCTGCTTTCATACAAATATAACCATGTTACAAAGGTTGGATTGTCTGCGCATTTGATGGACAAAAGAAACGCATGTCATGCCAACAACTCCACTTGTTGAGGGAAGTGTTTGAATCTTTGTAAATAAATAGTTCTTGACCATGTCATTACAGTAATATACACGTACTATTGTACATGGAACCTTTTCTTCTACAAAATATATTTCGTTTTGATTAATTTCATTTTGATTAATTTCATGTTAGTAAAGATTAGATCAACCTTTTATATTAAATTGCACAAGCTCCTGGTGCATATAAAGTATAAAATAAATAAGGAATACAATTTAAATCGTTGGGACTGAAATTAACAAAATAAAAAAAAGAAATTGTAAGTTGGCAAGGTTCAAACTTAATTTGTCATTATGATCTCGATACATATTTCTAAATTTCTCATCAGTAATTCATAGTTATGAAATAACACAGGAAGTATACAAACTCTATTCATTTAAAGTACAAAAGAAACAACTCTGCAAGTTTGGGACAGGAAAATACACTGCCCTTCCAATAAGATGTATTATATCAAGCATCAAAAATTTATTGGTTTTTGATTGGTTGAGAGCTCGTCACATGACCAGAAATATTTGAACTATTTTAAGGTTGCTCTGAAACAATACTATATGAGAGTACTATTTTGTATTTGAAAAGATTTTTTTTTTTTTTTTCAAATCTTAATTTAATGAAAACAAGATTATAAATATAGATAAAAATTGTAAATTTTGTTAAATACATTTTTGAAGCAGGATATAAAACAAATATACCATGCCTTCGATTTGAGGTACTGGTTAAAACTATGGGCCTCGATGACTCCAAAAGTACCATTTGCTTCGGAGCTACGCCCCTCAGCAAATAGTACTATTGAAGTCATCTTTTAACCAGAACCTCTCAAGACAGTGTATATTTGTATACTATATTTAAACAGAAATAATTGTGAAAACTAGTGGATCAGTCTGGAGATTTTCGCTCTTCATACCAAAATTTTTATCACCGATATCACAGGTTTAAAGAACAATGTATATCCATCAAATCATGAAATATGATTATTGAATTAAGTTGAGAGAGCAGTGTGGAAACAGTCCTCGAGAGCAGTTTTCTCTCTCACCCTGCTCCCCACCCACCCCCCTTTTTTCTCTCTCCTTTCTCTGTAGAAGAAAAACAAAAGGATTACAACAATTGTCTCTGGGATGCCAACATATTTTCTACTAGGTTAAAAAAAAAACTGCGTAGTAAAAACATACTATCTAGTAACTACGGGTCCAACAGAATAGACTAAATAGAATTGTGTAACCAGGAATCATACAACATAGATCCTGGACTGGTCCACCTCCTCATCTGTCATATGGTTCTTGGTCCTAAAGAAGTCATCAAGGTTGCGGACGAGACCTTTGTTGTAAGGGTTGTGGAAGTTACCGCTGGCGTCTTTGAGGTAACCGTATCGCTTGAAGTTGATCCGCTCGTTGGTATTGGTGTTTACAGAAGCCATGTACCACTGGAGGGAGAAAGGATAAAGGAGAGAGCAAGAGGTGGGGGTAATGGTGAGAATGATAAAGAGAGAGAGAGGGGAAGAAACCGAGAGACAGAAAAAATGCTATTACCGGTAATTGATTATATACTTGCTTTAATACCTCATAGTCTGATTCATACGAACCAACATTGTATTCAACAAATGTAGATAATTAAGCAATTCAGGGGAGGTCCAAACATTACTTATGGTCATATTTGCAATATCAATATCATGAGCATACATTAAAAGGAACAAAATGGTTCGAAAAACATCTTATATTACAATTGTTTAGTTTCCCAGCACGTTCATGAAATAAACAATTTGCGGACTGCTGAATGATGACAGAAAATTTTGACAATGTCCACACTGATATAAAAGTAAAGTCATGTCTGGTACCTCCTGATGCTACATGATCAACTTTTTCTGATCGATACCACACCGTTTCTTTCACAGTGCAATCCCATGACCCAAACTCAACTTTATCTTTAAGCAACGCTTTTAATATTCCATCCATTCCCCCAGATGGTAAAGGCATTATCTTACGTTCCCCTCAACCGAAAGACTCTGTGAAACTAGGGGTTATTTCTTGATGGGACTACAGGTTTGCCGTGTGCAGACTTTATACACCCATTGATTGGATTTTCACCAAGTCTGGTGTCGGCGAATTATGGCCTTCTGCACATGGAAAACTGACTACCCTCTCCCTTAACAGAGGCACCTCAACTCACCCCTATTGAGCAGAGACCAGAAGCAATGATGCCAAAGAAGACAGCTTCTATGATACCGATGAGATACAGCCAGTTCCATCCTTCACTCTTCAGCAATATAGCAGCAAAGTATACCACCATTATCATCATCGTTGATACCGATGTTGTGAAACCCATGAAGTACGTTCTGCGACAGCACAATAAGGAAGGATTTGCAGGAAAATATATATGTATAAATACTTGCAGTACTCAAATATGATAACAATTGTAATACGCCTTCACTTTTTAAAGAGACTACAAAGGTTTGACAGATGAGACCATAAAATATAAAATGATTCAACCATCTATCAGTTCACGCACTGGTACAAAATTTAGAGTACAGTCCATAGAGAAACTTCTCCATTGAAAGGATCTTTAATTGCTGATTTATTTATAGTACACATAATTTCAAGCATCGATGTCTTCAGTCTCACAGGCAGGCCCTTTCAACATACCGGTATTATGTAGATGACGCAATGGCTAAATTATGAATTGTACAAAACTGGCTTAACTAAAGGGGCCTCCTCTCTGCTTTGGGGACAAATCCAACCAAAGAAACTTATGGGTGTATTGGTGTAATTGGACAAAGGTTACCAAATTTGCAAATGAATGACCCTAGAGTGTAATGAAATCATGCTGCAAATTTTCACACGTATGGAAATGCCATCTTAAAAAATATCATTTTCTATTAAAACTACTTCAAAGGCACATTCACGAAGTAACAAGCCCCTAAATGCAACATTTTGTCCCCATCATCCTGGCTCGTATCTTACCTATTCCTTAGACCAACACAGTTGTATATGTAGGGACAGTGGTGATCGAAATGAAGGACGCATCGATTGCAAGTTCTGCAGTGCTTGGTGCGATACGGCTTGACTAGTCTACACGTATGGCAGAGCCTACTAAGAGGATTCCGACCCTGCTTCCACTCGTCAAACTGAGCAACCTGGCAAGGAGCAGAGGGGAAAATGTTATGCTTCAGTTGGGTTCTTTGGAGGGTAATCAAACTGTGCAACCTGGGCAGTAGTTCACAGTAAAGTTTTTATGACATGAACCTTAATTCCAGCTTTATGACCCTGTTCCACTTATCAAACTGTGAAAACTGGGCAGTTTCATAGTAATGTTTATATAAAATACACAACTTTATGACCATGTTCCACTAATCAAACTGTGCAACCTGGGCATGAACATAAGGGTAAGATGTCTGCACAGATTTATGACCCTCTTCTCACTCATCAGTACATCCTCGACAACAGGTAAATAAAAGACTGTTCAATAAGACTTTCAAGAATATTATCATCCTTTCAGCTAGTACACCTTTGAGGATTTCGGCAAGAAAAAATATAAGGATTTGGTGAAGATTTAAGACAACAATATCCCACAAGAAAAAATAGCCAATATAATTGCTCAAGGTGTGTCAAATTCATTGTAGCTGTATCAAATTTGGTCATATACAGATTTCTATAGTTTCTAATACAGTGCGTCCCAGAAAAAACGAAACCGAGAATTATCGATGTTTTATCATAACTTAATCACAATTATAATTGATAAATGACACATATTTGTAAAGCTTAGATCCTCCTCTGTCATTTGATGCAACTCATATAATGCATATTTCACGCATGAGTGATTAAAATCAATTTGAAGAGAGGAAAACAAAAAGTCATTTGACGGACGATATCTGAATTTCAAAGAGAAAATCACATTTCTAGAAAGTTGAGTTTCTGCCCTTTCGTATGACACCTCAATCAGGAAAAATGAGCTAGGAATAAAAAAGTTCTGTTTGTTTAAAGTAGTGCTTGCATTTCCATAATTTTAGCAAACAAATTCGTTTCACTGGCTGCCTGCCATATCAACAAACAAAATTAACTAAAGACTTAACTCTGTTTCGTTGACAATCAGCCGTAGACGAAAGACTTCATGCATTGAATTTGAGATATTGTGAGTTGGAATTTCAACAGAGTTCCTGAAGATGATCATTACAGGTCCAAACGTTCAAACTCAAAATGGAGTCTTCTCTTAGTATTGCCAATTTGAAGAGAAAGAGATTTTCCAATGATCAGTTTTGTTGGATGGTTATTAGGTGCATACCTGTCTGATAGCTTGGTCGTATTCGGGTGAGTTTCTGGGTAAGAAACCAGGATCTCTAGTGTATGCTTGGTAGAACATAATCCACATGAAGACGTTGTTTGCTAAGAAGGCCATATGTAGACCCGGGTACGATGCAAATGTTGCTGGAAAACACTACAGAGAAAATTGACAACATAAGTCAAACAAGACTACCTGTTAGCTTTCTTTCAAACATGTGCTATATTAAGCCTTTTGGCCAGGGGGGTTAGACCTCCCTGCATGGTCACTGGCAGGTGATTATCTCATCAAATCAGCTCTCAATTAACATAAGAAAAAGGGGACCATGGGGGACCATGGGGGACCATGGGGGACCAACGGGTACCACTTAGGCATTGTTGGCTATATAGAGGGCGCAAGAAGCTACAAGTAGTGCAGTCTCGCTTTATGATTCACTAAACTGGTTTGCATACAATTTTCAACTGCCATGAATTTGTTAGATACCTCCAGGAGTATGTTAGCACGCCGTAGCTTAAATTTTTTAGCTCCTGAAGTTGACAAATGTGATTTAGCTTTGCATTAAACAATGTTTTAACAGTATTTCTAGGCATATTAATGAAAAAACCATCACATTATACAAATGATTTATTTGTACATGTACATAATCTCCTCTCATTAGAGACAGACAAATCAAGACATTTTTCTATCAAAAGAAACAATCACTCATCAATTATATAATAGTTCAGCTATAATTTTTCACTAAACGATCAAGTTTACTTTATTTTTATTTCGAATATACATCAGTACAATTACAATTATGGGGGCTTTTGCTTGTTGTGATTCTACAAGTTTTTTAAAGATGATACGAGTGCAGACATATTGATGGTCCAACAATAATATATCATCCTAGTTGGTGCTATAACAGTACAACAGTCTGAAAGAGGCTCTGCTATACCACATCGAGCAAAACAGAACGACCACTGAAGACTAGACCCAATATTACCTGACTTTGACGAACATTTTCATTCTCCAAATCCATCGTACTGTCATACTACCAGATACAGAAAAGGTTATGCTTGTGCCCTAAGTTTCAAAAAGCTTGCACAAGCACAGTAGAGAAAAAGCTGACCTAATATCACTGATTGTGATTAAAAACGTTTTATCATTCTCCTGCACAGTAAAGCAAAAGCTGACCTAATATCACTGATTGTGTTTAAAAACATTTATCATTCTCCTGCACAGTAAAGCAAATGCTGACCTAATATCACTGATTGTGTTTAAAAACATTTATCATTCTGCACAGTAAAGCAAAAGCTGACCTAATATCACTGATTGTGTTTAAAAACATTTATCATTCTCCTGCACAGTTGTGATACATACAGTTTTAAAAGATGGGATTCGTAGTCTGTCCCATTATACCACAAAATATAGTTCTTCATATATTTCACATGCAAAAAATAGAAAGATATATATATATATATATATATATATATATATATATAAAATACTTACCCTTATAATATACATGGGGTAACCCCAGAAGAGTACACTGATTACAAAGAAAAGGAAGGGAGCTTTGCTATTGCCTGGTGGGCCAAACATGATAGATCTGCAAAGAAAGAAAGAGTTCTGTTATTCACTGAGGAAATATAAACTTTAGATAACAGAAAAAGAAATAGAAACAATGTCAAACAGGAACTGTGACTTATACGTATTCAAAATAATGATGCTCCTATATTTATCTTTAAAGTACACCAGCTCAGTAATGATAAAAGAAGATATTTTTTTCTCACTATGAGATAATATCCTTCCTTAATTTTCCTTAGTGATTAAAAAAAAGTCACATATTACATAGAAATGTATGGGATGATTGTTATCAACGTCAGGTAATTTTTTTAATTTTCATCAGTGAAAAACAAATTGGCAACAATTTTAATTTGGATTGATCGCACCTTCAAAAATTTGTAGTTTTCTTATTTTTGATCGCTTTTCGCTCAAACTTCCACTAAACTGTTTGTCTCATTTTCTTCCGTCATTTACAACGTCAGGTACATTCACAGCCCATTTTTAGATTAAAAGCATACATTAAGGTAGCTTATTGAAATGTGACATGCAAAATGCATAATTGTTGGAAATCATACATAATCACATAGAGGTAGCAGGACATCATTCGGATATGGAGCTGGTAATTATATTACTATTTCAATTCAGGTATGTCAAAAACACAACTTTTAATTATCATACATCGCTATAACTATTATGTCTTTTTCGTTCTAGACTTGTGCCACTTCACCTTGTTAAAGCTAATCTTGAGCTCTGGTATGGGAAACGTATTTTGAGAGAAAATTGTTATGATTTATTCTGGATTGTTTATCCTGCAGTAGATTGGTTGTTTGAACCAGTGAATAAAAAAAAACACACACAAACTTACTGGGCATCATCTTTGATAAAAACCACAACTCTCATTCGCACATAGTGACTTGTGTTAAGCACATGGTGTCGGGCCTACTTTCCCAGATATCCTTATCTTTCTATGCTCATTACTCGCCCACTACACATTTTTTACTAAAATTATTTGGCACATGTCATTTATTTGAAATCATGAACATTCAATGAATTCTTCTATATTTACCAGAACTCAAGTTTATCTTTATGCTACCCGTGACCTATAAAACATGGAATATACTTGAATGACTAGACTCACTTGAGGTCTATTCTGGGAATAACACTCTTTATATTCTTAGTCTCCTTGTCAAGGTAGCTGATGATCTCGGTATGGTTACGACCTTTGGCCAGCAGGAGCGGTGTCTTGTGGTTGTGGTCCTCTAAGTCAACCTCTACGCCGTCCTGCTCACATAACATCTTAACGGTGTTAAGGTCACCGTTGATACAGGCAAGGTGAAGGGGAGTCTGGAGCCAACAAAAATAGAGGGAAAAAAAGGTTAAAGGCATCGTTTAACAATGTTAAATCTGAGATGCACGGCCCTACATGTTATCAGTGTCTGTGATATGGTGTAATATTGGAGCCCTAAAAAAATGTGCCTCAAAAATGAGTGACTGGTTTTAACTACTCGTTTTCCCCATTAGACTGCAGTGTTATGAAAACCGTTAGGAAAAAGCAAAATTTGGTTTTGATTTCCAATCATAAATATTTTGATAATCAGACAGGCTATCGGCTTTTAAAAGTCATGGGGTTCCTGACTGACTTGGAGGTTTATAATTATCATTGCAGGATGAGCTAAATCCATGATTTTGTTTCAGAATCTGAGACAAAGTAAATGGATCCCTTTAACATAAAGACTGGAACAGACAGAATTTATTGTAACACTATATAAGAATCCTATACATGTAGCTATACAAGAAGTAATTATCGTTTTCCTAGTCTGAACTTCATATAAAGAAACGTCGTATAGCAGAATGCAGCATTTCAAATGAAAACTCAATAATGAATCAGGGTCCCTGTCTAGTCTGAATGTTGTTCAGTATGAAAATCATTTTACTAGGCAGGGCTTTTCCTGAGTGCACAATGATGACTGGCCAGCTACCATGGTCCATTAAACCTCTTCCAAACTAATTTCTATATGTTTTCTAGTCTGTATGCTCCTTCATTAAACAATGATTCTTTATAAAATGTTTCTTTATACACGGTTTGTATAAATTTCCTTTGGTCTGAACTTCTAAACAGGCTAGGAAGTCTGAATAGAATATGAGGGGCATTTTTTTTTCAACATAAAAGCTATCATTACAATTCATTGGGAAGGGCTTGACATTAACAGGGTTCATACCGCAAGGGTGCCAAATATTTTACTCTGGACCTACCCCCCCCCCCCCAAAAAAAAAGAAGCTTCTTAACTGGGAGGCCATGCACAGAGACCAATAAAAAATAACGATCCACATAGTGTGCAACCTTGATTAAAAATCAAATTAGTTTATGTAAAACACTTGCAATCATTGCAATTGTCATACATGTAAATGAAAAAAAAGAAAAAAAGAAATGATATAGTAATCATAAAAATAATGTTGATCCTAAAAAGGATATAACATGTGAACTAATTGAGGCTGGCTAATGATTGCATAATTAATCAGACCTTATACTGATGACTGAATAAACAATGTCTAAGTATTAAACCATTTTGTATCTAACAAATGACTAACTGTATTGTGTGTTGTTAGTCAGTGGGTTGTGGCTCGGTTTATGTTTACATCAACTTACGTACACAATGGTTATTTGTACTGGTACATTAATCCCTCACAGATGTAATCCCCTAAAAGGGCTCTGGTTCAATATACAATTATTTAGAGTAGTGTTTTTGTAGGTATCATTCGAATATTAAAACAGACTCTATATATGATGCCAGGACATGACCCCCAAAAAATCTGTTTGAAGTTGCATCAACACTCTAATGAGACATACAGTATGTACTTTATTGTATACTGTAAAGGGTAACCTTACATTCTGGTAATGAAACTATTTTTTTTTTAATGCATATTCGACTTTTCCAATGAAAGAGTAAAGAAAATGTACATAAATTACCAAAAGAACAAAAAATGTGCACATATACAGTTTTTTTCTTCTTAGGCAAATGCTGACAAAGAAGATCAATTTATTAATACTCAATTTGTCATCTCCTATTGAATTTGTTATGACAGATATTAACCCTTTAGTATTTCTTGAGCATTTCAATGATAATTAATTTTTACTCTTCAAATATTCAAGAACAGATATTGTAGTCCCTCTTACCTGACCATAGTTATCTTTTTGTCTTGGGTTGAAACCTGAATAAATTAGTAATCTTGTCAGCTCACAGAAACCTAAAGTATACACAGAGAAAAACAGAGGAAAAAGTATGAAAACAAATTATCATCATTCATAGATATACACTGTACATGTATTAGTTCCATAAGAAGACAATTTTTTATCATAAATCATTTAAACTTTAATGTACACTGTAGCTACTACATTAATGCAACTGCATCTTCAATTATTCTAAATTTTGGCCTGCAGTATGAGTCATTTATTTCATGAATCATACATATTTATTTGTTGGGTTTTTTTTTTCTTTAATAATCTAAAGATTTTTTGATGAGAATTCCCCCCCCCCAAAAAAAAAAAACATGAAGAAGAAAGACTTTGTAGACACACATTTCAAGTGTTATGCATGCAGCACATTAGAAAGAATAATTAACAGCAATCAATATAAAGGCTTACAGATCACTGATTTATACCTTTAAATGCTGCCCAATGAAGTGCATTGTCCCCTTCTCTGTCTGTAAGTTGAAGCCTTGCTCCCTTGCCCATCAGATAGCCAGCGAGCTGTGTCTGACCGTACTGGCAAGCAATGAGGAGAGGTGAACAGCCCTGAAGCATATGAAAATCAGAGTAAATAAAGCATTAAAACATATACAAATTTGCATCATACAGACATTTTTTTTTTTTGAGTTGCGAAAAATACAAAAAACATCAACTTTACGATGTGTATGAATAATTTAGATTTTACATGCAGATATAGAAATAGATTGATAGATAAGAGAAAAGGGGGAGAGAGAGAGAGATAGAGAGAGAGATTGGAAAGATGGGAAGAGAAGGAAGAAAGAGGTAGAGACAAGAAATGGGGGGGGGCAGGAGGGGTGGGGCGGGAGGGGGTTAGAAATTGATGTGAACTTCTAATCAATCTGAAATTTAAACTTTTGTGTGTGCATGGTTTTATGTTATTCTAAATTTTCTTCATTCTTCTTATAATTTACAAATAAAATGCTAGGTAAAGTTTCTTGTGGGTTGATTTTATACATTAGACATGTACACACAAACCATTTTCTGGGTGATTGGTATGCTAAGTTTACTTACATAAAACTGACCCTGTTATCTACAGTGTCAATGATACCACCAGCCTGGAGCAGACTATCTACTAGAGATATGCGGCTGTTCACATTAGGTAAGTGGTGTTCATACTAAAAAAATTGGTGTTTACCCTAATCAAAAGGATTAGTCTACCACCAGGATTACTGTACGTTTTATTTACAATAGACTTACCTTGTTATCTACTGTGTCAATATTAACACCAGCCTGAAGCAGAATATCTACTACAGCTATATGGCCGTTCACACATGCCCAGTGGACCGGCCTTGCACCCAGTTCATTCTTGCTCTGGGTATCTGCAGAATAGAAAACATTTGCAGCATGCTTGAATTGTTATTCTAAGGTTCACGTAAAAAAAAACCTGGTACTTGAAGACTAAGTGAATTAACGCAACATTAGATGTAAAGATCAGGGACTTGGGATACCTGTATAGATCAAACACCTTGAAATGATTGTAAAAGGAAAACAGAATAATTCATCCAGAATAAAAGACATCTAATGGTGAGAAAAATCTGGGTGTTTCAGTTAACTCTCTTGGAGCATTCCGGAACAGAAATAGTACTGTTCTACTCTGCAACTTAATTCATTGTATCCATTATAAGCTGATTAATTTAAACATAAAAAAGATTGAGCAAGATTATTTTAAAAGAATATCAAAGGTGAAGGAAGAAATTCACTGTCAGAATAAGTATTACAAGTGAACATATATGTACACAGTAATACAAATATATATATCAAGAGAATGTAATTCTTGTTGTTAGTATCAAGTGTTCACTCATCATTCTAGAGTTATACATTTTATCTATAAATCCAAATACAAACATGTACATGAGTTGAAGAACAGGGGTTGCCTACATGTAGTCTGCAGGAACAGACTCTAATTTGACTCTTTATCACAAAACCTAAAGCCATGAGCAGAGCCTAGCTCTGACAGTATCTGGTTGTGTCTGGTGCATCTAAAGTACAGAGCCTATTTAGTACGCTGTCAGCCTAGTCTCACAAAGCAGAGACTGTATGGTGGTGTGACCAAAGTTCGCGTTCTCAAAAAATCAGTATTAAAGATTTCGAAAATTTGATATCACCAATGGAAAGAGGATCATAAAATTACCCAGAAACGAAATTTTCTTTGGAATTGGGTGCGAAATTGTGAAAATATGGACAAAAGATTGGCCAGTTTGCAGTTATTTGCGTCCGTTCCGAAAAATTATCAACTTACCGATAAGGGTCTGGAAATCTTCATTTTGAGAGCAGATATCCTCTCGTTTTATGATATTTTGCCTGGCAAATTATGAAATTACCTTATTTTATATGGATCATATTTTTGTATAAATCAGCTGAAACCCCCCCCCCCCCTCCCCCCGTGCGTTAAGTTAGGTCTCATTGTTTTTATAACTTTTTTAAATACAGCGTGCACGCACAATCGGACATCAAATTTTTGGATCGCGATATCTCCTTAATCCTTCGACGATAATTTTTTTAGTTGAACCAATTGGTAGTAAAATACTTTGCCGTCCATTTGATAATAATTAGAATAATTAATTTGTGTAGAACATGAGGGAAAAATGGATCGAATATCACATTTTTTAACATGTTCTAAGATCTGCGCGAACTTTGGTCACCCCTTCATACTACGGGTTGCCACTGCTATAAATATACTCACCCAATGGAACTTTACACTGCACCATGATCCTAACAATGTTTGCAAGTCCTCCGAGGCAGGCCCAGTGGACCGGTGTGTGGCCTTTATCATCTTGCTCTGTGAAGAGACTAGGTCCTTCTTGCTCTAACAGCTCCTGAACCCTCATCAAATACCTGTAAAATAATCAAATATACACATACACTGAAAGGCTCCAGGTTAAAATTATAGTTTTTCCGAAGTGACAGGCACAGCAAAACGAACACAAATAAATATGCATGATCGTACAAAGAAATCATTCAAAACTACGAGAAGAAAACAACTACCGGGTACTCAAAATTACCTTAGTTGGTTTGTTCCGGCACGCATTTTACATACAGCTAATGAAGTGTATAGCACATAGCACAACTTGCCTAGCAACAGCTATTAGTATCAAAACTTGTTGTGATTATTAGGTAATTATCAGCTACTAAAAGAAGCATGCAGTGTTTAAAATAAGAGAACATTTTTAATTATGTCTTTACAAAAATATTTGATCGGAATGTTGTAAAGAAGAATTTCAGAAATGTTGTGCTGGTCCGAGAATAGGGCTCCTCCGCATAGACAAGAAATGAGGAACATCCTTGTAAACGAGGACAAATTACGTCCGCTGACGATCCCGATTAATGATCCGCGTGTTGGCCATGCGAAAAATGGATTCCGCGATGATGCTCCATTATGAATTTCTCACCATGCTCATTGACACAGCATAGACCTCTAGAGATTTTCACGTTATGAACGATAAATCTTCAGGAAGACGGACAACCCGTAAAAGTAGACGGTGAACTGGGGGTATTTTATTACGCAGGATCTGTTTTCGCATTGCAGCGCGCGGATTAGGAACCCTACATCCGCTGAGCGCCAAAGAAAAAAAAGTATGGATAGGTCTACTTTTTTTTAAGGACGCAATTTGTCCGCGTCTATGAGGATATCCTCTTTTAACCGTACGATCGCGCCCCTACTGATAATGTCTCTGTTTTGAGGGGAAATAGTAAAATACTCCAAAATAGACAAGAAAAATGACACAAAACAGGTAAGAAAGGTAACAAATTTCAACTTTTAAATCATGACCAATATTTATTTAACCAAATGTTGATTTGTGGTATGTTATACAAGGGTATCTCTACGGCGGGGTCACGGGTCGGAAGTATGGTCACAGAAATCACACTCTCTGCATGCAGAGAGGAGCTGAGACAAACACAATATCGAATACATGGGACGGCTGAGTCACACCCAGGGTCCATTTTTTAGTGACGAGACAAAATGAACCATTTCTTGTTCTTACCCAGACTTTACAGCTTGAAACATATCCATCGGCTTTGGCAGAGCCTGTTTCCCGGAACAGCAACCTTTACCATCGTGAACATGATCATGATCTTCATTTCCAGGATCATTTTGGGGGAGCGATTTTTCTCGAGTTTGTTGGTGAGAATTCATTTTGGTTGAAATAACCACTTAAATTGCGGATTGCTAATTAATCGACAGAAAATAAGCCGGTAATTTTATTCAGAAATAGTATGGTACCTTCAAAATTAAAAACTAATCAATAATATGGAACATGAGCATCGAAATCAGAGAGAACGTTACTTATAAGTAAAAATTTGTCATCATAGGCTCAAGTTACCATGCTTTCGATTGGACTAACCCCCCCCCCCCCAAAAAAAAAAAAAAATAATAATAATAATAATAATAATAAAATAAAAAAATAAATAAAAAATGTTGCGGTGCCCCCATGATGTGTCCAACCGTACTATCAGGACAATTAACCCCCAGGAAAATTAGCACCTGGAAAGTAACCCCTAAGGTCAACCAACTCCGAGGACAATTACCCCGTTGGTAAATCAGACCCCCCCCCCCCACCCCCCCTCCCTTGCGAATACCCGTTCATGAAAGCCATTGAAAGGGGAAGTCCACCCTTCTTCTTCTGCAAAGGCCACCATATTTCTCTCGGTGTATTTTCTTACTTTGCGTACCCTGATAATAAAGGGATAGTTGAGTTCTGTTGCAGAGGGCCCTACACACATTTTTGTGAGATAATTAATGAAAAACTGAGTGTCAAATTTGAAAGAACATACAAATTAAATGACAAAATCATCTTTGTTTGATCAAAATCGGTCAGAGACTGCTGAAATACATAACGACTTCTAATTTTGTGTACCACCACAATTTAATATTCCATAATTTGAAGAAAAAAACATTGAAAAGACGAAATAGCGCCTCTTACGTTGCATTTCAGCCAATGTTGATGTTGGCTTTTTTTGTTGGCTTTTCGTGTTGGTTATATTAAGCTCAACCAGCCGGCCCATGTGTTAATTGTTATTATTAATTAATTAAGGGAGTTTACAGATAGCACATGGTACAAAATGACCCCAAATATCCACAGATCTTTTACACATGGAGAAGTTCCACTTTGAGCATCTTAGAATAATAACTGCCAAAGTCCTAGATGTGCTTCATGAATACCTTTTGTTTGACTTCTTGAAAAGAATACTCCACCTGCGTATCATAGAACAATGAATAATGTTACATAACTTTCATGAGCGCATATCCCGCCAGTATTCATCTCTGTGGGTTTTACCATTTTGGTACAAATGACCTTTATCTGCCCATGCGCAGATTGTATCTGTAAACTCCCTTATTAATGGTCACCGTTTTTTTTTTTGAAGTGGAGCGAATTGGTACGATCGTATTGGCCAAATTTCACACATTTTAGGGTCTAAAATTACCTTCATAGCAATTTTAGGTCCTCAAAGGGCACTAGAGATGTCATAGATAAAAATAAAAGCGATAAACATGCACTTTGAAGGCAAAGAACTCAACTATCCCTTTAAGTTAATGGTTTTTTAAATATTTTTTAATCGGGGGTAATTTTGTCCGAGGGGGTAGGAGGTGATTGTCCGAGGGGTAATTTTAAGGGGGGAGGGGGGTAATTATTCTAGGGGCTAATTTTCCGGGGGGTAATTTTCCATGGGTTACGTCCAAGGGGTAATTGTCCTAGAACCGTGCCCAACCATCGTGACCACACTAAAAAACGTGTTGTGGTTCAGTCTTTTAGTGACAAAATAGGCATGAACCGATCGCAACAAAAAAATGTTCCACTGTTGTACAGTCAAACCTGCTTTATTGACCACCTGTCTACAAAGACCATGTTTCTCAGTCGTCTCCCTTCCCTTGGATGGTCTTTATAGGCAGGTTTTACTGTAGTACGATTTTTAAAATGCATTGCATAACATGTAACAAGTTTTCGGCAAGTTTTAAGAAACACAAGCGGTTGAAAATGTGGAAAACGTTTTTTTTTATGATAATTATTTTCGATTTTCCATAAGCCTAACCTTGAACAGAACCATAATTTTGTCAACTCGGCTTCAGTTGGACATTCTCCGATGTAATTATTCTTTTGAACGTGCTTGCCTAACGAAGCAAAATGCACTGAAGTCCAACTTACACAATTATGTATACATAAACGACTCTGAGCAAACGACGCCCTCTGGGGAAAGCAAATAGTTTACATTTCAAAATATAGTAGCGATCGATGTAACAACTAGGTGGAAAAAAGTAAATTAGTTTGATTAGCGTAGAAGAAAGAAAGAAAAAGAGTAAGTGAGTGAGTGAGAGAGGAAGATACAGGGAGAGAAAAGGAGATCGAGTGAGAAAGAAATTAAGGCAATTGGGGCAGACTTGATATAATTAGAATACATCAGCTTTGTAGTACGAGGATTTTCTTGCGGTGCCGGAAAGAGGGGGGGGGGGGGGGGGTTACACATATCATAAAACAATGTATTCTTGTACAATTATTCGGCTCTTTGGTGACTGAGTAGAAACATGAATGCTGTATGTGCTTTTTAATAATTATGATTAATACCATACTTCTATAGTTGTCAACTACGACTACTTGCTTACATTATAATGTATTACAAGTAGTCGTAGTTGACAACTATTCCATTATATGAAAACGTATGTAGCTAGGGGCACGTGCCCCTGAGTCCCCCAATCGAATGGCGAAGGAAGAAGTAGAAGACAGAGCAAAGAGAGGAGAAAGAAAATAACGACAGCAGAGGGAGAAAGAGACGGTAAAGGAGGAAAATGGATGGAGGGGTGAAGAAAAAACGGTTCTAAATGCGCTTTATCACAAATTGTCAACAATTATTCTTCGAGACAATAACAATTACTTTTTGTTTGTGATAACCTCGCTGGGTAGTTTTATTTATATATTAATTATTTGTTTTCCAATGCTACACAATGATTAATTTATTTTTAGACAGGAAAACAGTTCTTGCTAATTTGTCAGAAAATGCGTACTAGACGAACAGGCAATAAACCGGTCACCACACAGCATTATGATGTAAATACGAATTAGTATCCTCCCCCCCCCCTCTCTCCCTCTCCCTCTCTCTCCCTCTCTCTCTCTCTCTCTCTCTCTCTCTCTCTCTCTCTCTCTCACTGACTTTCTATCTTTCCATCTTTTCTCTCTTTATCACTCTCTCTCACATCACCTTCTTTCTGTCTTTCTTCTATGCTATTATAAGCCCAATTAATTTGTTTCCACCTCTTGTTACATGTAGTACTATATATTTATTTTGAAATGTAATGTATATGTTTTCATCAGAGGGCATCCTAGCTTGTAAGCCACTGATCAGAGCCGTCGACTATAAGTTGGACTAGTACAGCGATGCTCTATATACAAATGAAGATGACGGGAAAAATTAATGGGGCCATAACATGTGTCTTCTAACAGAGCAATAGTGGCAGCTGTTTTAAGTTTTGCATTGAAATCAAATTTGGAATTTGAAAATGTGAAACATACATCAGATTTATATTTTGTTATAGTAGTGACGATGATGATGATGATGATAGCCTAATACTAATACTACTACTACTACTAATAATAATAATAATATGAAGAAGAAGAAGAAGAAGAAGAAGAAGAAGAAGAAGAAGAAAGGAAGAAGAAAGTTTTTTTTTTTAAATGAACGATTATTTAATAGAAGTGACGATGATGATGATGTTAATGATATTAATAATAACAATAATGATAATAATAATGATGATGATAATAATAATGATAATAATAATAATACTAATAATAATGATAATAATATTGAGAGAAAAAAAAGAAGGATAAAATAATAATAATACTTAGAATATTAGTGACGGGGATGATGATGATGATGATGATAATAAAAATAATAATAATGATAGTATTCATAACAGAGTAGTGACGATGATGATGATGATGCTGATGATGATGATGATGATGATAGTGATGATGATAATAATAATGATAATAATAATAATAATAATAATAATAATAATAATAATAATAGTAATAATAATTTGATTTGATTTGATTTGATTTATTTATTTCTGTTTGATTTTCTTTTTCTTTTGCATTTTTACAAATATATAACAAACAAATATTGCAAACTTACACATGACAAAAGAATATAATGTAGAATAAAGTAAGGCTGGCTGTAACTAATCAAAAACATCAAACAGGAGGGTTGACAAAGTAAGCAAAGCTTTATAGTATGACTACCCTCAAAGATAGTAATAATAACAATGATAATATCCATAACTATAATGATAATGATAATATAATAGTAATAATAATAATAATAATAAGAAATAGTAATAATAATCATGATCGTTATTATTTACACGCCTTCTCTTTCTCTCTTACTCTCTCTCTCTCTCTCTCTCTCTCTCTCTCTCTCTCTTCCTCTCTCTTTCTCTCGCTCTCTGTCTGTCTCTCTCTCCTGGCTATCTCCTCTTTTTTTTTAAATCATTTTCATCATCACTCTCTCATTATCATCTCCTCTATCCTTTTTATGATCTCTTCCTTAAATTTCCCCTCTTTTTTATATTTTCGTTATCATCTTCAAGTTTTTTACTCTCAATCTGAAATTTCAGTTTGCTACCTTTATTTACTCTTTCGTTGCATAGGCCTATGTAGAATTAGTTATGAAACTCAAATTGTGAATACTATGATATAAATCTAAAAGCGAACCTTTATGTCTACAATTTATTCATTTTACATTGTATTTGCGTACTGAACAGAGGGCATGTTGCATCATAATATTTAATACGTTCTGGCAATACTCGGAAACACATAACTAGAATTTTCTGTACCCTCGAAGCCAGTCAAGGATGCATATCGATTTCAACGATTTTGTTTACATAATTAAACCCAGTTGTCTAATTGCATTTTTATTTTGCTCACAATACAAAGCTTTAAGACTTCGACATTTGCTTCAGACGTATTCTTCCGTATTTCAATTCCCCAGACGCCCTTTTTGCCTATTGATGTAAATTGCCGAAAAGAAAAGAAAAACACTCAAACACACGCAAAGACGGAACCTATGTCCAAAGCCTATACTTTAATTGTTTCAAAAAATGAATGCCTCCTTTTATCTATTCATTACACGGCGAAGTATAATCCGGAGTTTCATATTTCCATCGTTCCTCTTCGTAAAATTAAAAAGGCTATCGCATGGCGTCACCATGGTTATCAAAATTATGTATTCCTTGATATCCAGTCATAATAGAAGCCGATACAAGGAGAAAAGTGTTTTTTTCTATCCTTTATTATGATCATGACAAGATAATTCAAGACCTTCAGGTAGGTGTGGTAAGCCACATCTATGATAAAACCATTCCTCAAGGTTAGCAATTTTTTGAGCGGACTGAAGTTTCTTCATCAAAAGGAATTAAAACAGATATGATCGATTAAACTGCCCGTGAACGAAATTAGAATTGTCATTGAAGTTCCCGACTATATAGATCTACAGATCGTAATCCAATGTAATTTTTCCTACACGCTTTAAATAAAATGAGTAAACATCGATACGTTTATATTGGAAGTTGACCTCAGTCATTTTAATGCTTCTCCGTATGAACCTTTACCGAGGTAGCTATGTACATCCCTTTTCCTTTATTTTATTTCCAGATTGAACTATAACACAAACGGCCGATTCGCTATTTCTCTCTACCTTGGTCAAATCTTTATTTCTATAACTACTTCATCAAGGAATGTTGGCTTGATCGTTCATATCATTCTAGTAGATACTTTAAGTATGATTTCAAAGTAATAATGCCAAGTAGAATCAAATGAACTAGAAGAAAAGAAAGATCCCATGACAAGAATAAAAAAAAATTAAATTACTGACCGTCTGCTTTGTCCTGGAAGTATAACTGTGCTTTTTATGTATAAAAACAAATTAAACGTAAATGATTACGTGAAACGTCTATCACTTCGATTTTTTGCTCACAGGGCTTCATAAGAAATTCAGTGTGCGTGTGTGTAGGTGGATGTGCGTGTGTTTGAATGTAGGTGTGCGTGTATCTAATGTCTCAACATTCGGAACAACAAAAAACATCGGCTCGTCGAGAGACACCTGTCACTTTAAGAAGTGATCAATTAAGATCATAAGAATAACAATATTTATAAAGCGCAACATATCCATCTCTAGAGATGCTCAAGGCGCATACAAATAATTTAAATTAATATTTAACATACTTAAGATTAAAGAAATATTAAATGTTAACTTGCATTAGATCATACAACTTCATGGTGCCAAGGTGCATACAATGTGGCACAGTGCGATTGTTTGTTTGGCATGAATTGTATAAAAAGAACATTGAAATTTAACAATATGCATTGAGCATCAGGTGAGTTTTAAGCCCAGTTTTGAAAGTAGAGAGAGTGTTGGCCGTCTGAATAGAGAAAGTTAACTTATTCCACAAAGAAGGAGCTGCTGATGCAAATGCTCTATCCCCCCAATTTCTTTTGGTACGTATTTCTTTAAGTCTAATATTATGTGATGAACGTAAACCAGAACGACCTGCAGAGTGGGGTGATAGAAGGGATGAAATATATTCTGGAGCTAGATCATTTAGTGCACGATAGGTTAAGAGTAGAATTTTATATATCACACGCTGTTGAACAGGGAGCCAGTGCAGAGATTTCAAGATAGGAGTGATATGTGATGATATTCTGGTGTTAGTTACAAGGCGAGCAGCAGCATTCTGAACTTTTTGCAATCGGTTAATTTGGTTGGCGGGTAGTCGAAAGAGTAATGAATTGCAATTTGCAATCATGTAACTTGATAAAGGGAAATCATTTGATTTTTCACAATTTGTCAGTATTGTTTCATTCTTTGCAGGGAGAAAATGGGAGAGGCACTCATGACAGATAAAAGGGGAATCATATAATTCACTAGCTCCTGAAGAAAACCTAGAAAATGTCAGTGATGACTTGCAATAGTGCATGTACAGAGGTGGTTATAAAGTTATTCCTAAGTCTCCTGGACTCTCCTTGTTCTATCTACGTCAAGATAAGTCTGACCCAGTACATAATCAGCTCATATCCACTGCTTGACGTCTAGTAAGAAACATACAAAGGACGATTGTGTTATGCATTTCTGACAATTAAGTAAAGAAAACTTTATTTACTGGGTGTAAGCAGGGACAACTAACAAGTCCCTGGTGTAAGCCACAAATATGTTCAAACTATTAAGAAAACTTTTATTGTCCCGATTTTCGAAACGCAGCTGTAGTATATATACGTTGATGATTTGATTTGGTTTCGATCTACTCTGATCGTTTATTATCAAAGTTCATTTAAAAAAGTGAATTAAAAATACACAATAACAATATAGGCCTGTATTAGTCAAGGAACTTAAACTTGTACTTGAACTTACAGATATAATTTTTATAGCATATAATATTTTATATATCTCTCTTTCTCTCTCTCTCTCTCTCTCTCTCTCTCTCTCGCTCTCTCTCTCTCTCTCTCTCTCTCTCCCTCTCTCCCTTTCCCCCACTCTCTCTCTCTCTCTCCCTCTCAATTCAATTTCAATTTATTTATGTTTCCAAAAACATTACAAATCAATTATAAATATTTACAACAAATGTATAAATACATATTGGAAACAGAGGGGTCCACTAAAAAGCAATGCTTGTAGTTATACACGTGTAGACACCTCAAATGATACTTAGGAATGATGAGTAATTAAATTAACAAGTCCGTAACTACAAAAGGAACTACAAAATAGGGAGAAAAAGGGGAGAGGGAACAGAGACGATAACGAGACAAGACAGTACTTTACATGACAAAGATAGAAGAACACGGTCATAATATATTACTAGCTCTCTCCCTCTCCCTCTCTCTTTCTATTTGTTTGTCGGTCAGCCGCTATTACATTACGCACTGTTTATATATTGTAGGAACATGTTTTACTTATGACGAAGACGTCAATCCAAACTGTGCCTTTGTCTATTCCTTTTTTCTATGTATGATTTTGTATGTGACCATGTTCAAAATTCATATATTTGTGATGGTGTACATGGAAAATAAATGAACATCTATCAATCAATGAATCTATGGATAAATCAAGGTTAATCTCGTCTTCCGGTAACATAATTATATGCAACACTTATTGTAAAAACTTGGCTTGACAATGTTAATGGAACGATATTTCATTCAATTGCAACACATCTATACTTAAAATCCAAGGATTACAAACCGATTAGAAATATAGTGTGGGAAAGCTGAAAGCGATGCCAGATGACCGCAGAAATTAATAATAATAAATATTCTTTCGCGCTACACTGACGCAATTTAGACTTGACGCCGGGCAAACATTGATTCCTGTCTTTTCAAAACGCTTTTTTATTGACCGACAAGGAGCAGCATTATCAATAGACCCTTGAACACCCGTATCTATTCTTCAAAGAAGCGGAAACCATCTCGTCCTAAGCTCATCTTTCGTTTTAAACCAAGCATGCTTTTGTATTGACGCGGCGTCCAATGGCATTTGGAATTGGGCGTGGTCTGTTTCTTGAGTATATATATATATAAAAAGCAGAGTGATCGCTTGCAACAACTATAACTACATCGATTAACTGGATGCTGAGGAGGTAAGTTTATCTACTTTGTTAATCTACTTTGAACGTCTTTTTATTTTGTAAGTATTGCTAAATTAAATATGTTTTCTCCAAATATCATTTATCAATCTAGAGTAAATGAACTAAACATTTTCAGACAGGGGATATACTATACAAACAATGCTCTTTATTAGACTCGTTTACCGGGAAAGCGTTAAAATACCTATTTGCTTTTAATTGACGGAAGTTGTAATTTTCTTCAAATAATTTGAATTTTTTCTTTGCACAATTACCACACTGACAGCTTTATTGAGCATATAGAAATACACAAAAGGACGCATTTCCAATCAATGTGTTTAAATACAAAATGGATTTTGCGTGAGAAATTGAACTTAAATCGACATTTTGTTCTCTGTCAAAAGTTCTTTAAAAAAAGCTTTCAAATCCTATATCGGAGGTGAAAAGAATATCAATTTGATGTTGAAGTCTTATATCCAGCCGTAATATCTAATCATAATAACTAGGGCGGTCATTTTGTCACTAATGCAGTATTACATGACATCAGATCGAAATGCTCGTGTGCTTTATAGTACATAATCTGAAATGTTTTCTTAATTTTCACGTATATGTTGTGATTATTTTCCGTGCAATAATCATATCCTTTGATATTAACGAGCTACTCAAAACGTTCTCTTAAGATGATGGACAGATAGGAGCTTTACATATTCTGCTAGGTTCAAATACTTATTTTAAACAATAAAAGTAATGATAGTAATAATTAAGATGATGATGATGATTGTTATATTGATGTACTTAAACTTCAAACTCAAACTCAAACTCAAACTATTCCATAATAGCGTCTTACCAGTTACAACGTAAGCTACCAAACCTAAACCAAACAGTCTAATGACAGTATAACTGAAAGTAATTAGTAAATCATAATTTCTCTATTTTCTATTCTCTAACAGTTTCAACAATTCCTGAAGTGGACGAGATATCACACATGTCATGCTTTACTTTTTTTGTACAGCCTAATCTGATGCGATATATGCTGTATGATAAATACTGTTACGGATACACCTTTCAAACCTAGCCAAAATTTGTTAGCGAAAGTTATAAGTGGTGATACCTTTGACTGTTCCGAACAGTATATGATTAATTTCGAAGTTGAAAATGACGGATTTCCCGGGGATTATAAGCGATGATCACCTCGACGATCTCGGTTACTGCGAGACAGCTGACATCAGGAACGTATCGGAGGAGAGCGCATGGGGTTGGTCCTATTCTGGCCCAGAATGGGGATTCAATACCATCTTTCTGCCCATTGTCATGACCATCGGCGTGCTCGACAACTGCGCCTTTATCTTCGTGGTATACCGCGTCAAGAGCATGCAGACGATTACCAACTATTACCTCGTCAACCTCGCCTTCGCGGATATGATGTTCATCACCTTCGCAGTCGTCCACAAGATCATCAAGATCTTCACGTCACCGATTTCTTTCGACGATTCCGGGCTTGGTCTCGAAGGCTGCATGGTGATATTTCTCTTTCTCAGCGCCGCCTACAATGCTTCGATGTGTTTCATTACAGCAGTGAGCGTCGAGCGGTACAACGCGGTGTGCAATCCGCTGAAGATGCATCAGGCTCAAGGTTCGAAGCGCTGGTCATTTACAAGAAATGTCTGCATCGTCTCCTGGGTCGTCGCCTTCCTCGTCTCCGGCACATTTCTACCCAGCTACGGTAAATACGAACACAGCTGCTACGAGTGGCCAGACGTCGAGCCATACAAGAACTGGCCAAAGAAGACGAGCCATTGTAACCCCTTTTCACTGGTCGCAGACAGCTACACCAGCGGTGCGCAGACGATCCCTTTCTTCATCACTCTCGTCGTAAACTTCATCCTGCATCACAAGACCCTGAAGGGTTTGAGCAGCTCTCTCGGCAAAACCAAGGGTGACGGATCTCGGAGCGAACGTGACGCCAAGATCCACAGCCAGACTGTTCGCATGCTGGTCGTCAACAGCGTTCTCTTTTTCGTGTTCCTCTCACCTTTCGAGTTCATCTCCTTGTTCGTCATGATCAACATCCTCATCACAGGCGGTATCGTCATCCCAGGTAAAACGCTGACGGTGTATATCTACATCGCACGTACACTCACGTACCTCAACTCTCTCTCCAATCCGATCATCTACACAGTCTTTTGTAAAAGATATTTTAATGCTTTCAAGGAGGCTTTTGGACTTAAATCAAAACTATCGAGAGATCCTTCAGTGAGTACCGTTTCTAAAAACGTACGATAAATATTATTTTGTTTGGGAAATGCAGCATTTGAAAGATTGAACCAATGCACCCTATTACAATATGAATTTGAAGAGATTCACTTAAATGCAATGCCAAGACGAAAAAAAACTTATCAACTTTATTTGGCTCACGGTCCTATTTTCATATCCTGGTATTTTCCATATTTATCTCCCTTTCCCTTAAATCACCGTTAAGGTACCTGTTTAGTTATTCCAATTTGGTCTACTCTTTTATTAAACGCATTTACTAGCTCCTGGTTTCTGAAAATATATTCTAATAAAACATGATCAAGCGAATTCTACATCTCAGTTTATTCAGACCCTGGTATACAACGCCATTGAAGAAAAGCAAAATGCTTGTTTTGTGAGTAAATTGATACTGTTAACATCATAATAATTATAATTCTGATATTAATGTTAGAAGCAAATTTCAGCATCAAAGAGGAATAAATGACGATTAAGTGATATGTGGTTGGAATTCAAGAATCAGAGATTTAATCTCCCGTTTATATTTGTCTGTATTACGTACGCAAAATCATGTACAATGTTGGTTTTGTCTTTAAATTCATTGATACTTTTCCCAATACCGTGATGCGCATGGAACATCCAATCGTCTATTTCATAACATGTCGCCTGTATTTTTTAGGTTTAGATTTTTTTTGACGAATAGTTTTTTCCTTCCTTGCAGCCCAATGATATGATTATATGCCATTAAATTTGTATTTACAGAATGTAGTGGCCTATTCAATTTCTGGTGGTTGTTGTGACTCCCTAACATATATATCTCTATATAATTGATTAAGACGGCATAATTTAGTTGGCTTACGCTGTGAATTGACAAATGAAAGTACTTGTAATGTCGAAAATATTATACATTCTGAATAAATTTGCAACAGAAATGGTATTCATTGCATTCAAAATTTAATTTAGTAGTCATTGGGCTAAATTATAGTAGAATTTACAGTGTAGAATACATTATGAAGTTTTTCAACAGGAATATTTGACATAAATAATGATTTGTAACTGCCTGTATGGGGTTTTCTTGCCTCTTTAGCCTGTTCCTCATTTTCATTGTATACATTTAGGACAACAATGTTCCATTTACATTTTCAGTTCTACAATATTTATATTTGTTCTTTTTTTACAATCATATATCATTATCATATTTCAAATATTGAATTTAAATGTACTTTGTGCATGCTTTTTATGCTCATATTGAAAGGGGATAAATCGAATAATATCAAATCAAATCACCACTACTACTACTACTACTACTACTACTACTACTACTACTACTACTACTACTACCACCACTTCTACTACCACTTCTACTACTGCTACTTCTACTTTTGCTACTGGCACCATCACTACTACTACTGCTGCTATCACTACTACTTTTACTACTACTATGTCTACACTTCTACTACGACGAATACTACTATTGTTCCTCCTATTACTACTACTACTATCAATACTAATAATACTTCTACTACTGCTACTACTACTACTACTACCCTTTCTCCTCCTCCCCTTCTCCTCCTCCTCTATACCATTGATAGTATATGTTACTACTATCGCTTCCCTTGATATATACTACTTATATTGATTTTGATTTGGTAGTTTAATAATTCTCTGTTTATTATGTTGCGTAATTATTCTAATGTGTAAATGCTTATTCTATTTTGATGCCTATCGGAAAAAGATATGATTTTAATCATTATGTTTATATTCAATTGTATGCACTTTTATAAATGCAGCATTTGTACTTTCCGGTAGAAAGATTAAAAGGCTCATCGTTCGATGATACAACCCTACATACTGATATGTTACCATGGCAACACATTGAGCGATTTTTACAATGATGATTATCAAAATACTCTTTTCCCGGTAATGAACAAACACAACAAACAAACAAAAATGAGCATCGTCTATATTAGAAAATACTAGAAGCTGTGTTCCATGATTATTCCATATTACTGTGATAGATAGTAGATGTATTGAGCGAGGGGGTGGGGGGGGGTGGAGATCCAGTTACAGATAAAATTTGTATGATCTAGGCATGTGAAAGTATTTGTGTATATACCCGTGGTATTGCTTGTGGATTACACGTATTTTTTAATGGAAGTGTAAATAACTTATCAGAAAATCTATTTTAAAAGGAAATTGAAATGATAATATTGTAAAAATGTACATTAGAAATCATCGATTTTTCGATTACATTCATATTAACGTGATGTAGATCTTAACTGTTGTTAACATTTCTTTCGTGTTTGGTCTCATGATAGGTAGCCTAGTAATTTGAGTCGAACGAAAAATTAAATTGCAGTGCATTTATGCATCTACTGAATAAGGCTATAGATTGATAGTCTGATCAATAATTCAACTTGTAAAATTCCATCCATCTTGCGCACTGAACACTGTTATTGAGTTGTTTTTAGTTTGGTTATTGCATTTTTTTCATATATTGTGATATAAGTGATGGATATTGATGTACTTCGTTTTTACTATTGCTCAAATCTATATGACGTATTTTCTTTTTCCGCCTTTTGTGTGGCTTGACGTTACTTGTGGCGTTTGCTGGAGAAAAAACACGACTATTCATTGATGACTGAATAAATATCAAATTTGTGTTAATTAAAGATGTAATATGTTTCCTGGTCATAGTTATTGCTTTTCCATTATTATTCAAGCGGGATAATTTCTGGTGCAAAACATATGCACCATAGATGTTGCATGTCTGCCATTATTAGCAAATTTAATGCTGATGTGAAAAGTTTAGCAAATGGTGGGGTTAAATGTTTGCGATTACATTACATCCACGCGTGCTGAGAATCACTCTGATATTCAAAGAGAACACTTGATATTATGTGAAAAAGAGTGGGAGAGAGGGGCGAAATGGGAATGAAGAGGGAGGGGGAGAGAGAGAGAGAGAGAGAAAGAGAGGAAAAAGGGAGAAAGAGAGAGAGAGAGAGTGTGTGTGTGTGTGTGTGAGATAGAGAGAGAGAGAGAGAGAGAGGGGGAGGGGTGGGGCGAGAAAGAGGCTAAAGGGAAGGTAGGGTGACTTTGAGGGATGACAGTGAGCGGGATGATGGAATGATGAGAGATAGGAAATGAAAGAGCAAAACAAATGTAAAGAGAGGAAGAAAAAGAAAGAGAGAAGGGTGATGGGCGGAAGGGGGGATATGAAACGAGTTAGATTGGATGAAATTTGATGTGCAATGATAATTGTAATTGTCTACTCGTTATAAACAACCATGATCTAGTGGAATAATATCCACGCGATCTTATTAAAATTGTAGATCCCCCAAAAACCTCCATGACCAGTTAAATATAGTATATTTAGTTCTTCCCTTCTTGCTTCACCAAAAAAAAAATCACCCGTTCCTTTAAAATCATTTACACGCCCAGAGGCACTTTTCCAATTCTCTAGTGAATTAAACGTCCAATATTATCATGCTGGAGAATTAGTTGAGATCTCAATGTGTTAATGAATAATAATTGTAAAAACAACAATAGTAACAATGATAATATTAATAATAGAATAGGAATATAAAATTAAAAAAATAATGATAATAACTGTTGTGGTACTATATGAACAACACCAATAGTTCATTGATGTGCGTAATGAGGCCGCGATTGGCGGAAGGATATGGGAATAAAGCACTTTCAAGATGGCCACTTATACATGAACATTGTCTACAGTGATCTCTTATTTATCCGTTCATCGGATCTTTCAACATGGTGGCAGCGGTCAAAAGAATTGCCATATCTATTACTATGGAACTGCAGATCACATAGGGCCAGCAATAATCTTGAATGACTTATGAAAGATTGATAGGGACGGTTTTTGAACTGCCGACAATCACACTGCACAGCCAGCAGAGTAAACTCACAGCCGCGTCTCCAATATGACTTTGTGTCGGCGTAAGGTTGCGCACTGTATTACGCGGGCAACACTACGAGTAGACTAGTGTATTGACTGTCAGACTAAAGCCCTACATTCAGGACCAGAACTGATGCGGAGGCAGAACCAGAGCCTAGAGGCTCGCCAGGAGCAGAGCCTAGAGGCTCGTCAGGAGAAGAGCCTAGAGGCTCGACAAGACCAGAGTAGGGTGTCTGAACGATTTTTCAATTTTCAATTTGGGATCGTTTTTCACCATTTTTGTTTGATATTTGAATAAAAAATGTTATCAGAATAATACATTTCAAATTTCAAGTCTCACCGATGTTTCTATCAAAAGTTACAGCCCCTCCAACACGCTGGTATATTCATATCATTTTGGTCAAAATCGTCGAAAAAGACGTCCACGCAGAGTGATGTTGTTTTGCTAAATTTAGCCAAACAGCTGTATCGCGCGATATGCAAGCGTATGCATATCGTACGCATGCTGCTAAGCCAATCCGCGACTTGCAGCTTGAGCTACGCTGTCTCCGCGACATGTGCGATTGACTAGTATGGTTGGCGTTCGTCGCACAATAAACCCGGAAGTGAATGCACGTTATAGTCAATGGCAATATCGCGGAGACAATCTCCGCGATATTGCCATTGACTATAACGTGTATTCACTTCCGGGTTTATCGAGGGAATTTCCAACCATAATTTCAGTCACTTGAATTTGGGGTTTCGTTCGTGCGCGGAGATGTTACGCGATGTAACCATGGTTTGGACTGAGCGGAGCGCACGCCCCCTAATTAGCTGATCCACCAAATAGCGAGAAGGGTATTTTTAAACTGTTATCAGTTGTGATCCCTGGGGGCTAGCGAAAATATAATCACATAGAATTGTTCCTTAGGACTGGGACTACTTATCGATCGGGGCGTCATATCTCAAAAGTGACAAACCTCAGAGTTAGCCAGGACACAATGTTTAAATTGCTGTTTTGACCAAGATATTTTTAGAATTTCGGGGGCTACGCCCCTTTGGAAATATTGGAATTCACCTGCTCTTTCATATGACACCTCATTCATTGATTATCACCTTCAGGATCACAACTGATAAAGGTTTGAATCTCGATTTGAAAAAAAAAAATTGACTTTTTTTGCATGGTCGCGCAATGCACGTAGGCTGCATAGGGATGCGTGTAATCTCTATGGGAAGAATTTTAGCACACAACATCGGGTGCGCGATCAGACACCCTAACCAGAGCCTAGAGGCTCGACCGGGACCGGGAACAGTACAGCTATAGGCCGCTACCTCGGACTTCCAGCCCTGCACTGCATTTTGGTTTTGGAACTAGCCTACGCCACTCGGACCCAGAGCGTCGTGTTGCGGACCGTGCAAGTAGATCCAGGACTGATTGCTGGACTTGGTCGGATCTGATTCAGTGATTGTGGAATGAAAACTAGATTAGACTCTTAATCAAATGGACTATAATCTAAGCAGACATATAATGTTTGGACTCGGTTTGAAACAGTTAAACCATAATTAATGTGCTTTGTCGTATAAAACTGGACTAGTCTAGTCTAGGGGTCTAGATCAAGACCTAGCCTAGATAGATAGTCTAGACACTTTTTTTTCTAGTCTAGACTCTACTTATGGATCTAGACTAGACCGAGTATGAGAATGAGTATGACTAAGAAGGTGTAACTTGATCAAAATCTACTGTCACCTTGTTCTATATTACTGGACCTGGTCTAGATCTAGACCAGATCTGGACTAGGCCTAGTCTAGATTTCTAGATGTGTTTACTTTAGACCTTGACGAGTCCAATTTCTACATGTGGACCTGTCCTAATTAAATGAATGATACACATCTCTTACATGTATGTAGAAGAGCTGATGTACTACTAGACTCTACTAGATCTAGATATAGATCTAGTGGTAGACTCTACTGGTACTAGACCAAACAGTGGTCTGTGGTATCCCCTTAAAGCAGGTCCAGGACCAGTTGTCTATGTTAGACCAATTACACAAGGGGGTCCAATTGTCTATGGATCTAGACTTTATATATTTTGATACATTTGAACCTGCATTTTGAAGTTGTACATAGAGTCTATAGTGTAAATGCTAATTGCTCTGTAGGCCTACATGTCGATCTAAGTCACAATTCATGTATTACATGTAATTACCTGTGTAGT